TTTTGTATGTATATTGTAAGAAGTTGTTTGGCAGTCTTGCAAAAGTTCAAAAATTATGTGAGAAATGCTGTCAGTCAAAAGGAGCAGGGTTTGTTTAAAGCAATGCTTCTTATGTTCCAAATTGTAGACAGAGAGTAGAATTACTAATCTTTAAGTCCTGAAAGATCATACTAGATATTATACAAAAGATGCTTATGAAAAGTTTAATGTTGATTAGAAGGGCTGGCAATGACAGAATAGCAAAATACTCTTTTTGAAGAACTTAGTTTCCATGAGACAAAGATTCAAACCTGCATTGAACCATAGGAACAAAAACAAAATTGCGTTGTCGAAGGCTTTCATGGCTGGAATCACTAGGTTGCTGTGAATTTTCCGGCTGTACACTTGTGGAACGTGGCCATACAGCCTGGATAACTCACAGCAACCCCAAAACAAAAACCAAAATGTACAGATGGGTAACAACTTTGTCAAGACTGACTACAAATTCAGATTAGTGTGCTTTCAATTCTTCAGAAATTAGCCTGATGATAAAATAAATTAGGTGAGGTGTGTAGGAGGAGTCCTAGTACAAAAATTGGGTTTGATAGTTTTGAACCATGGGGACTTTAGTTAAACTCAGTTCCAGGATGGAGAAAGCAAGGCTGATAAATGTAGACAGAAGTTTAGGTATCAGAGGATATCTAGCAAGTCCTTCTAGGATGAAAAAGAAGCTGAGTCTGTGCTTCCTGATCTGTATAGTCCATCTCAGCTCAGACATCTGCCTTTTGCTTTAGGTGAAACACAATAGTGGCTTTTAGTTATGTTGGATAAAGCACCAGATTAACATGGTCTTGGATGGGATGGGAGATTGACAACAAATACTAGGTGCTGCACACTATATTCCAGAGGAAGGAACTAACAAAAATACTTCTAAGTATTTATTTTCTAAGAAAACCCTATGAAATTTATGGAATCTCTGTAAGGCAATAGGCAACTTGGAGGCATGTAAACACACATATGGTATATATTCCCTCTGGTACAAGAGACAGCACATCTCTGTATCACTACTGGAAAGCACAAAAAAGTGGAGGGTGATTGCACTTCTGTCTTCCTTTTGGGACATTGGTCAGTGTGTGAATCAAATCCTGACTTAGATTGTCATTTCTCCTGATCCTGCAGATATCTTCTTACCATCTCCTCAATGTATCCTGGGTAATGTGTGGAAGAAGTCAGTGGGTTGTCAAAACAAGATTTCTGCTGCCACTGAAACCATTGCATATGCTTTTGTGATTAATGGATAGGTCAGCATCAAACTGTTGTGAGAGTGAAGTGTGGGTGGGATTTTTCACAGAGCCTATATGGACCACTGGCAACTTTGCATCATTAGGTCTGCTCCACTAACGAGGACACCTAGCTGTCAACATAATGTGTGTCTGGCAAATCACCCATTTGACAAAAGCCATTGAAAATCAATATTTCTTTCTTTTCCTTTCTTTGTCTTGGAAAAAAAAGCTTAATCAAATCCCTGAAATGGTGCATTCAAAGCCAGAGAGCAAGAAAGAGAGAGAGAGTGCATGCAAAACCATGAAAAATGTGTTTGGGTGAGTGTATGTGTGCGGGAGAGATGGTGATGAATAAATGAAATCAATGAGCTTGAACTTGGAACAGACTGGATTTTGTAATGTTCATAATACTGGCATTTTAAAAAAATATGTAGCTATAAACCACATTGTATCTCGTGGTGAAAAAACCCTGTGAAGAAGAGTTGCTAAGAGATCTTTGGTCAAAGCGATTAAAACATGTAGGCTTCTTTAGAGCCTGGAAAGGTTATTTTTATGAACCATACAACCCAGAATTCCTCAGCAGCAAAACCACTCATCTAAAAAGTAGCCTTTCCAAAGACCGATCTGAGCAGGAATGGGCTCGAACTCAGCCAGAGTTAGATCTCAAAAATATTAACCGTTTCCCAACCTTTCAGCACAATATAGCAGCATCAAGAATCATAATGTAGGTGTGGAGCTGTATAAATGAAAAGGTAGGTCTGGGTTGATTGAAAGAGACTTGGTTTTGAAACTTTAATTCAGTAGTGGGGGAAATTAGGTCTGTTGTATAGCTCAGAATTAGATTTAGGTCTATCATAAAGCTGATGATATTTGCTTTCTAAGGCACTCATATCAATGAACAGTTTGCTCACTTTTGTGAGGAAAATGAATAGAACTTGTTCTAGTGAGAGCAAAACCTGCTTTCCACTTTGATATTTGTTGACCCTGCCTCTGATGACATGCATACCTCCACGTGTTTGTTTTTCCCTCCACGTGTTTGTTTTTACAAATGTTCAGTACTCCCAATGTGTCCTTGCAGTGCACAGTACCTAGATTTATTTATTTATTTTATTTCGAGGTTTTATATACCGACCCTCTCACCTTCAAAGAGGGATTCGGACCGGTTCACAACATGTGTTAACATACAAAAAATATACAATAACAACACAATGCCACTTCATTACACGGTTAAAATATCAGCACTATACACGTTAAAACATTATCATCACAGTTAAAAGAGCCAAATCGTCCGACACCATCACAATCCCATTCATCATGCTCCTTTCATGTGGGCAAAGAATTAAATCAGTTGTCAAATGCCGCGTTCCACAACCAGGTCTTTGTTAGTTTCCTGAACGTCATGAGGGAGGGGGCAGTTCTGATCTCTAATGGCAGGGAGTTCCAAAGTCGAGGGGCCACCATCGAGAAGGCCCTGTCCCTCGTCCCCACCAGCCATGCTTGTGCAGGCGGTGGGACCGAGAGCAGGGCCCCTCCAGACGATCTTAGTGGTCTTGATAGCTACAATTCCTCTTTTCCCAGAGATATGCATTCTGCTAGTAATTGATGAATGGACCATACAGATGCTCTGCTTCACCAAACTTCACCAAATGTCAATACAATTTTCCTTTATTTGCATTATTAAAACAGTAGCGTTGCTGTGGCCCAATCTGTGTGTATATGCGTGAGTGTATGTGTATATATATATATATGTGTGTGTGTGTGTGTGCGTATATATATGTGGTTTTGCGTATGTGTTGTAATGTAATTGTTGGTGGCTTTTTAAGTCCCTTCCACTTCGCTTTTCAGTGATTTTATGAGTGATGGTCACTCATTGGTCTGATAGGTGTGTTGTGTCCAAATTTGGTGTTAATTTGTCCAGTGGTTTTTGAATTATATTAATCCCACAAATGAATATTACATATTTATTTATATAGATTTTATGCAGAATTGATATTTTTTTGGAGCAGGTATAACTTAGCTCTTTCCACATCGCATCCTCTTATGGCTAAATTGATTAGTTGTTCTACAGACCCTTGTACTGGTTGCATTTCATTTCCCTCTGTTTCAGCTCTCCTTCTGGAAATATAGACAAAAGCAGCTGTGCAGTGGTTTTGTTATTAGGTCACAGAGCTAAAAGCTATCAAAGCTAAGTATAAAAGGCAAATAAGGGTATTGGAAGAATGCGAAAGATTCCAGACAGGCTAAAAATGTCAAATATTAAACACTCTATTATGAACCAGCAGGAAATGAATGAGTTTAGTAAGGATTTATTGAAAGGATCTTTTCTCCCAATGTGTCTGGCTATAAAATACTATTAGACTGAAAAAGATGATATAATTCTAAGTTGACAAAACCTATGCTGTTTGCCGAACCCATGCCACTTGCAATTACTGTCAATTTCTAAAGGCTTTCCATAGTTTCTTTCCAACAAACAAGTAGACCTGTTTCTTTGCTTGGACTGAACAGTGCATATTGTCTGCAATACGCCTATTTGTATCTCTTATTAGTCCATTCTGATGACCTACTTATAATTCTCAAGGCTTCTCTTTGGAACACTCTGCCACTAATGGTGAGCAGATGAGACCTGAATATGAGTCCAGGCTATCTCTAGTCTGCCTCAATCCTGGCCACCTCCCAAATCTTTTGATAAACCATACTTAGCTCTTGATAGGTTCCTTCTAAGGGTGAGAAAGACTCAGTCCATGTTGTGATATTTCTATAATTTCCTGGTTGGTTGATGCTTACTGCCTGCACATAGCAAATTGTTTCATCTTGATATTAATTTTTCAATCCATGCTTTTTAGCTTTTAAATTTTTTAGAAAGAAATGTTATTAACGATGATGACATCACATCAATAATTCAATGTAGAAAAGAAAAGCAAGAGATCCATTAGCTCTTTGGCAGATCTGAAACTGCTTTCAGACAAGTTCAGCAGACGTATACGGAAGAAGATTTGACTAGCAGCCTAAAATTTATAAGAAAGGATCCTGGATAGTTTTATTTGGTAGTAGAGTTCCATATGTGGGAACTGTTACTAAAAAGGACCTGCTTCTCACCCTAGTCTTCAGCTTTAGCAATGTCTAGCACTAGAAAACAAATCCTCGTAATGATCGCCGTATCTAGGGAACAAAACTTGGGAAGGTCACTCTTTAAGACTACAGCTTTAATGGCCAAACTGATGGGGCATTATGGAAATTATAATCCAACCTTAACTTTTCCAAATTCTGCTGCAGAAGGCAGAACTTTCTGTGTAGTCTCAGAAATAAGTAAACTGTACTGCAACTCTTGTAGTGCCCTGCAGCTGCTATATTAGTTAGGGCTTCAGAGAATTGAACTCCAAAATATCATTGGCAGCCAAGAATTCACCTACACTGAATAATTAATATAGCTTGATACTGTTTTAGCTGTCATTGCTCAATGCTAAAGGATCATGGGAGTTATAGTTTCACAAGGTCTTTTTCCTTATCTGCCACAGAGTGTTGGTGCTGTAACAAACTATAAATCCCAGAGTTCCAACCATGACAGTTAAAGTGGTGTGAAACCACAATAATTCTACAACGTAGAATGCACCCCAGTTGTTCCCCACTCCTATTATAATTGCACTTTCTGTTTCCAATAATAGTAACAGGGATTAAAATACACATTCAAATGTATTTATTTTTCTTTTTGATCTTTTCTTTCTCACTATTGTCTTCTAGGAACTAGCCAAGAGGACACCAGCTAAGCACCCAGATTATCAAGCAGTTCAGAATGCTTTGCAGGCAATGAAAACAGTATGCACCAATATCAATGAGACCAAGAGGCAGATGGAGAAGCTGGAGGCCCTTGAGCAGCTACAGTCCCATATTGAAGGCTGGGAGGTATGGTATTTGGTGAAACAATGGGATCTATTTAGCACCTACAATCCTGCTATGTCAATAAATACAACCCAGCAAAATGGGCTTTGCTGATGCCATCGTCTACCTCATCATATTTATACTTACTGCATTCTTCTTTATATATCATGGCTGGGAACAACAACAAATCAAAATACAAATATAACATCAGTGAAAATACATATAACATCTGTTGGAAATGCACAAATCAGTTGAAATGGTTCAGAAGGACATATAAGATGGATATAGTCAGTTCAGTTCAGTTCAGTTCAGAAGGACATAAAAGATGGATATAGTCAGTCCATAGTTTAACATTAATTATTTAAAATTCATCATTTTAAAATCATCTGAATAGGTCTTCTGTAAGAGCACAAATTGCCCGAGGGCAATATCAATCTGTGAATGGTACTCTATTTGTTTGTTTGTAGGACTTTCATTTACAAAATGAATCCCAATACAAGCTATGTCTTCTCTCTGCAAAAAAGGAGTAGGGCACAAAGGACAGAATTGTACAATGACTACTAGTGATTTAAGAAAGGGCCGTCCTAGTTGGGCAGCTATCCTTTTCCTATCTCACCTGTGCCACTTCTTTGTATCCTCTTCTCAGACTTTTTTCCTTTCCATACTCTGTTCTCCAGTTAGATTAACTTCCAATCCAGAGGACGCAGAGGAGGAGTGAGCAAGGATATGTGTAGACTGCCTTACTATGCTCTAAGATGGAACTTCTCAGTTCACTCAATCCCTATAGAAAACAGAAAGGTGGCAACAGGCAGCTGGCAGCAAAAGATTTTGAGTTTGGGAAGATTTGGCATTTTATATTTCTGGATAAAGGTGGCTCAAACTGCTTAACATGACAGAGTGTAGCAGAAACCATGGGCTGAATGGAAGAAGAGGCTTATCCACACTTCAAAACATATCCCCCCTTGGAAGTGTTTGCGAGTTTTTCTATATATTCTAGTGCTATTCTATAGTGTGCTCCAAGCCCAAGTAGAGTCAAAATATAGGATTTTCTATTATTTGTGGTTTCAGGGATCCATAGGGATTCTTGGAATGTTTTCCCCGTGGCTACAGGGTTCATACTCCAAATAAAACAAGTCTTACTCTGTGGCACTTTTATTACAAAATTACTTAATTGCCATGTTGGTGCTGGGAGAATGATGGGACAAAGAGTTAAAATATCCAGGATGATGGTGGCCACTTGAAGATTCCTCAGTTAGATGCGTCTTTCAGGAGGTCATGTAAACTTCCTCATATTCAGACTGCTGAGTGTTACTGCACAACCTTGTCTTGTTTGGTTTAAATAAAGCTTGCTCATTTTTTCCCTTCAAAGATGTTCTTGGCATCCAGCTGGAGCCATGTGAGCAGCCCAGCTATTTGGATGTTTGTTTGCCTGGATAGAAACCTAGGCAAATGAAGCCTAGATATAACATTTAGCACAAGACCTACAGTTAAGAAAACATGTTCGTTTTGAGATGATTAGATGATTTATTGGAGTGGGATGGCTTGTGCACTTAAGCCTCAGATGGTCACTTCCCTGGTATATTCATAGTGGGTGGTGGTCTATTTTTAAAAATATCTGGTTATGCTTTTTAAGGGTTTAAATGGCCTATATCAAGTATTCTTGGAATGAAAACAGTTTCTGATATGTTTATCGGTGCTACTTAGAAAAAGAAAAAAAGAACAACCCATCATCGTCTATCCTATTGCTTGCAGAGTTCGAGAGGTGAAGGCAGCATTATTTCACTATTGAATAAAAATCCTCAAAATGTATCTCTAGAGTTCTCTGTATTGGGAGTTTATGCTATTTTGAAATTTTTGAAATGAGCAGCTGACTTAGAGGTTAAAGGGGCAAGGTCCCTTTAGATGTTATGATCCATTATACAGGTTGCTCAGTCTTAAAAAAAATTTAAATGTCACCACAAAATTAGTTGCAATGATGCATAGGCATCTGAGTTACCTTTTTATTTGGCCATCATTGTTATCAATCTTGTCTAGTCTTGTTCCTTTCTCTCTCTCTAACCTATTCTTTTTATTTCCGATTTTGCTTTCACATCAGACATGACCATAAACAGACAAATTACTCCCCTTCTTTGTTAATAGTGAAGTGGCAGCCTTTTTCTTAACATTGGTGTTGTGCTTTTCTGTGCAACAAGTCTAGTAGTATTACTGTTTACAGTAGCAGACCTATTAAAAGTGAGGTTACCAGTTTTAGTCTAAAGCTGTAGAACTGGTGTCAGTTTCACTAATTTCAAGAGATATGCTTTAATTATGACTATGGCTGGATCTAATCCAATATGCCTGTAGATTATTTAAAAAGCTAATTTAAAAAGAATGGCCCAGAAGGATTGTACGAGGGGTATTTTTAAGTAAGGTCCGTTTGAACATAAGTACACAACAAAAGTTTATTTCAAAAAAGTAAATTTATTTTCAGAAAGTACATACTTCACTCTATTTTTTGACATAGTTGCCAAGTTTGTTCAAACACTTAATATACCTCTGAACCAATTTTAAAATACCCTCTTCATAAAAACTTGCCGCCTGCTTCGATAACAAAGAGTTCACTGTAATCAAAGAAGGGCGACCAGAGCGGTCCTCATCATGGACGTTGTCACGGCCATCTTTGAATTGTCATACCCCCTTACGCACTTTGCTTTCACTCATAACAGTATCACCGTACACTTCACAAATCTGTCGATAAATTTCTGCAGCAGGCAGGTTCCTTGCTGACAAAAACCGTATCACTGAGTGAACCTCACATGCGGAGGGTGAGTTGATAGTCTTAAACATTTTTAAAGCACAGAACAGAACCGTACAGGTTAGCTACAGAGCGGAAACTGAGCACAGTTGTTCCCGAGGCATGCCGGTACATGACGCACGCGCGCATTGCAGTATGCGCACAAACTACTAGTGTCTACAACAAAACGGACCTTACTTAAAAAATACCCCTCGTACATGACCACCTAAAGTTGTAAGCCTGAGCCACATCCAAAATGTTGCATGTAGGTTAGAGAGACCAGAGCTTAGAAACATTATTGTGGAGCACCAAGGTCCTACTGCAACAATACACCAGCCTAACCCTGGTTTCATTAGTTGTCATGGTTTTTACAAGCTTTCATAAGGAAGTATCCAGTACCGCCTTACACAAGTGGAGTAGTGGACTGGTTTATAGGCTGGTTAGTATCTTGACATACCTCTGCTCACCCCATGACCAATGTGATTACTCATGGCTTTTTCATTGTGCAGCTCCCACTCCAGGCTTGCACATGAGTGCATATAGACAATAGTATCCTTGCACAAGACAACAGAGGCAACATACTATTGTAAGTGCACTGAGATCTTTAGATTACAGCTCCCAGAATCCCACTTGCTAGATCATTCTGGGAGTTCTAATCCAAAAAAGTAATTTTCCAAGCTGTTTGATCTGTGTCTAGAATTCTACATCTTCCATGAATTAAATGTATGTGATGTTAAATGATTATAACTTGCTAAAAATATAAATAATACACTTTAATTATATTCTGTTTTATCTCCCCGGAGGGACTCAAAGTGGATTACAGTACACATATAAGGCAAACATTCAATGCCTTTTACATGAAAAACAACATACAATACACAGATAAGGTCAAGGCCTTCCCCCTTTTCCATCTCTGACATCTCAATTCTGAGCATGGGGAGGCACTCTTGTTCCATTTTCCATGGCGAAGGAGCCTGCTGTTCATAGACATCTCCAATCTTTTTGCTGGCATGTCTGAATGGGGCACCCTTTACCATCCCACTGAGGTAGTATCTATTGATCTACTCTCATTGCATGCTTTCAAACTGCTAGGTTTGCAGAAGCTAGGACTGACAGTTGGGAGCTCACCCCGATTTGCAACTTCAAACTGCTAAAGGTCAGAAGCCATTTCTGCAGCTAGCAGCTTTAACTGCTGTGCTACTGAGGCCCCTTATTTATTTTTTTAGTTTATTTATTTAATTTTTAATCCACCGTTCTTCCAGTATAGGGACAGGCTTGAAGAAAGACTTTTGTGACTTAATGGTAGTTGCAGAACTGAACTATAATGTGAGCCTAAATTATGTGCAGAACTGCTCAATAGAAAAAGGACTATCTTAGTCTTGATCTCTCTTCTGCAATATAGAAATTACATTTATTTGCCTCAGAGGACTTGTTGTTCTAGGATTTTTGCAATAAAATATTTTGTATTCGTCTATTTTATCTACATTATAAACATTTTTGTTGCTCTCCCAGTCTCTTCCCCAAAACTTTAAGTGTAAAGCTCCTGTAAATGTGCAAGGAAAATGTAAGGAAGTTATTTCGCTGACACTATCCATTTCACAATTTTAATTTGCCCCCGTCCCCCATTAGACAGCAGTAGGCCAAATTATCTAATCCACTTCCTTAGTCTGGTTTGCACTGCAGATAAAAGGAAGTAACAGTTAACATCTCCCTCACAACCAGATTACAAAAAAACAAATATAAATGGAGTATTGCTTCAGGTTTCTGCCCTTAGGAAATGTTGCTAAATGTATAAATATAAAACTGGAGTATTCAAACTATGGAAATTTTTCATGTGGACTATTGCAGTGCATTATGTGGCAGCCTTCATTTGAAATGAGGTGGAAATTTCAATTAGTTCAGAAATAGAGTGTCTAGACTGTTAACTAGGGCTTACCATAGTTTCCCATCTATCCATTTCCAGGCACAATTCAAAGTGCTGGATTTAACCTTCAAAGCCATAGTAAATCCAGAACTTCCTCCTGCATTTTCCCATCTGGATCATGATATCACTGTCCAAGGTTCTCCTTCAGGTGCCAAATAAGGTGAGGCAGAAGTCTGCAGACACAAGATCTTTTTAAAAGATGTGACTTTATTTGTGCTCCCTGGAGAGGCTAACTTGGCACCTACATTACAGGGTTTTTAAACCATCAAGTTAAAAAGCTTAAGAATGTAAAGATTTAATATTTTTAGATTTTTGCATGGTTTATTTTATTGGTCTCTTATTACCAATGTGCTGTATTTATTTTACTCCTTGCTTTTTATTATGCATATATGATATGTTTTCATTATTGTTATAATATTTAGTATTTAACTGTGTATAAAGTTGGAAACCGCTTGAGTTCCCTTAGGGGGAGAAAAGTGGTATATAAATGTAGTAAATAATAAATAATATTTCCCAGAGAAAATCAATTATTGGATGGTCGAAAATTATAATAAAGGATTAGATGAATACAGGTTAATTATCTCTTATCTGAAATACTTGGGACCAGAAGTATTTTGGATTTCAGAGTTTTTGGATTCTGGAATGTTTAGGAAAGGGTGAGAATCCAGATGTCATGCTTGGTGCAAACCCACAATTTCCTTAATTTCACAGATGCTCATATCTCTTTCCAGCTTCACATCTCACTTATTTTTTTGTTTTTATTTGAGGGTAGAATAAGGATATAAGGGGCCTGATGCCTGTATTCACGGGGTGGAATACAGTATGTATTCTGCAGGAGATCTTTGGGAGCCCACCCACTTCTGGCTTGTGAATAAATGAGCAGGAGTGCCAAAACCGCTGCCTCAAAGGGAGAAATGTGCAGCTGACAGCAAAAGATTTCCGATGTTGGAATATTTCTGATATCTGGATCAAGAATGCTCAACCTTTGCATTGTATGATCTGGCCAAATTTATGAAGAATTTATTACTCCCATCTGTATGGGTGATGTAATATACTCTTAAAACTAGAAGGATGTTTAGTTCTTATGATGACTTGAGCAGTTTGACACCACTTTGAGGGACATGGTTCCATCTCATAGGGTTCTGGGATTTAAAGGATTTAAAGACCTGTGAATTTGAGAAGCAGAACTCTATGACATGGAATTCAGATGTTTCACAAAACTACAACTCCCAGGATTTCATAAGATGGGGCCATGACAGTTAAAGTGGAACCAAACTTCTGTACTTGTTTGATTTCTGTCAGTATTTAACATTTCATTTAAAATATTGTTTGATCTGATCAATGGGATAAGCATGTGCATGAGTTCAAAGCAGAAAAGCTAGTTGCAACTTTAGTTCAGGTGCAGACTGAAAAAAATGTGGTTTTGTTTTTTAGGGATCCAACTTGACAGACATCAGCAGCCAGCTCCTTCTCCAAGGCACCTTGTTAAAAATTTCAGCAGGAAATATCCAGGAGAGAACATTCTTTCTTTTTGATAACCTTCTGGTCTATTGCAAGCGAAAATCCAGGTGAGCACACCAGCCTCATGTCTTAGTTCATGGGAAATAATAATTTTGTCTTCATTTTTGCTAATGAGAACTGCTCTTTAAAGAGATTCCCCCTTACACTTGAGTATAAGCTGAGGGTGGGAAATGTAGTCGCTACTAGTAAATTTCAAAACATAAATAGATACCAATAAAATTACATTAATAGAGGCATCAGTAGGTGAAATGTTTCTGAATATTTACATAAAACTGTAATTTAAGACTGTCCAACTCTGATTAAACCATTATTCTAACCTTCTTCAATGTAAATGTGCTTACGTATCCTTCCAATAATAATAGAGTAAAATAATAAATGTAATAATAACAATAAATATAGTAAAATAATAAATGTAATAATAATAATAAATAGAGTAAAAATGTAACAATAACAACAACAACAACAACAACAGAGTAAAATAATAAATAACGTTGACTCGAGTATTAACCAAGGGGGGCTTTTTAGGCCTAAAAAAGGGCTGAAAAACTTGGCTTATACTCAAGTATATACGGTAATTAAAATGTGCAGTTACTGTGCAAAAGTAGTATGATTACCCTTTGTTACTTTACAATAACAATTTAGCTAAAACTTTAGTAATAACTCAGCAGATTTGAGTGTTATTTTAAGTAACACATAATTGCTAAACTGATTACAAATAGCTAGTTCCCAAACTCTGTTTTCTACACTCTTTTCTCCCTTTGTCTTTGAAATTATTTTATTCGGTTGGGCTCTGTCAGTACTTTGGGTTTCTATAGCCCCTCCCTTTCTGCAGGCAGTTTTCCCAGAACACTAAGTTTTAGGAAACAAAATGTTCTCCTGCCTTTTGAGAGAGCTCTCTTGTTTGTACAGACTAGGCTTCTGAGAGCAACTTTACAGTAATTTGGCTTGGACTTGAATAAGGCAGCTTAGCCACTTTCAATTCTCTAAAGAATCTGTGTTTATATTTTCCTAATAACTGTAGCAAGCACAGTCCAAATCTGATTTTCATTTAAAAAAATACCACTAGGGGAGTTTGTTTTGCATTACCTAATATTATAGGATATATTTAGACGTGGCAAAGCTGCTATTATTTTGGATAGTTCATCTGTCTGTCTGCTATTTAAATTCTAGTCCAGAATTTAGTAAGTAGCTGACCAGCTGCAGGCCTTAACAAGTGACACACTAATTGGATGCAGGACTTTATACTGGATTTATGGGAAGCAACACTTCTTATATAGCAGGAAAAAAATATGCTTTCAAAGTTTGCATACATTGAACGATCAAAAAGCTAATGTGTTACTATTAGCTCAGCCACCCATGCAGACAATTATGGATTTTGAAGTGTTCTGGATTTTGAAATTCTGTATAAGGCATGCTCTACCAGTACTCTTTCCTCTGGCAGTAGATTTTGGATAGTTCTCTCTCTCTCTCTCTCTCTTTCTGTATATGTATATACATACACACACACATATACATACACATACAAACATACTGTATGAACACACATACAGAGAGAGAGAGAGAAAGAGAGAGAGAGAGCGCAAGTCTCAAGGTCAGATAGGAAGAACTCATATTTGAAACCTTGGAGAGCTGCTGCAAATTCAGGGACATCAGTACTAAACTAGATGAACTAATTGTCTCACCCAGAACAATGCAACCCGCTTATCCACATATTTGATATGCATGAATTCATTTATCTATACTCCAGAAAATATCGCCCCTCCCAGGTGTTTGTGGACCTCTCTGTATTCTCCAGTGCAATCCTATGATATGCTTCCGGCTTAAGTATAGTTAAAGTGTAGTGTTCACTATTATCCACAGTTTCAAATAACCACGGAGGGTCTTGGAATGTATCCCTTGTGGATATGAGAGTCATATTGTATTCAGCGGCTTCCTGTATTCCTATATTCTGATGTGGTATGTTACCGTGATCAGCCTTTAGGAGCTGTTTTCTTCAGTAATCGTATAATGTCCATCAAAGAGACAATTTAATTGCTTGATGATTCAATTCTGACTCTATAAATGGTTGTCCATTTGAGTTGGCAACAGTTAATGTGAAGTCTGCCTCTATCCGCTTTTAATTTGTTTTCATTAAAACCAAGACAAAATGTTCATGGCTAGAGCAGGAAAATAGTTCTTCAGAAAATCATTGTTGTTGTTGTTGGGGGTTTTTTTTTTGTAAATTTGTTAACTATCTGGTGGAAAACACCCCAAATTTGGGCGAAATGTATGTGCCAAAATAAAAATACAGATATAAATTCAATAAAATATGATATAAAAAGTAGATTTGGGAAAAGCAAATGATAACAACTCAATAAAAAATGAATAGAAACCCTAAAAGATTCATGACTTTGTCGCTGTTGTTGTGTGCCTTGAAATCATTTCCATCTATGATGTTGAAAGTCTACCTGCCATTATGTTGTCTTGGCAAGATTCATTCAGGGGAGGTTTAATGTAACCATCCCCTAAGGATAAGGGATTTTGACTTCTCCAATGTTGAGCAGGGACTAAAGCACTGGTGTTTTGGAGTCCACAGTAAATAATGACAGCTACATATATGTTGGACTGCATGGACAAATGCAGAGGGTGGAGGTCTTCTGTCAGCACTGAAAAATCTTCCGGAGGCTAAATCCATTTATCAACTCTGATTACAGTAGATCTGTTGAATCAATGTGTTAGGGATTCCTCACCTTCGGAAGAGGAAGGGGAGCAGGGAAGTGCTCAGGAATTGGAGGCAGAAAAAGAATCAGACAATGAGGTTTTGAAAATGCCCACATTTCTAGAGAGACAAAAAGAGACAGAGCACAGATGGCGTTCAGCTAGAATAGCTGCTAAAAACGCTGGGCTAATTGGGAGACGCCCTAGCACCTCCTGTGTGAGGAATTCAAGGGCTATAAATCAGTAGCAGGAGTAGTCAGTTTTCATTGGTAACAATGACCCTGATACTGATGTTTTCACTCCAATGGAATCTGCTTTGTGTCTGCTGCTAAAGACTTAGTTCATTGCAGATCATATGATGGAAGACTGCTGTTTCTTTTGGGATTTTGCAAGAGACTTTAATTTGTGTCTGGATTAAGATTTTCTTGCTTTCTTTTGCACTTTGCTTATCCTTCATGTCTGCTGAAGTAAAGCATTTTTCTTTTACTTCCATAATTGTATTAAGGTTGTTTTTGAAGGGCAACTCAGGACACAATGAGAACTTGATAATCCAACATTTAAACTGATATCCTGTTCACTGACATTATAATGACCATTCCAGCTATGGTTTGGTGACTTTTCTGTGCTTATGTGCTTATCAGCTTTGAAGCCATCCTGTTACATTGTAAGTGGGCAGAGAACTGCTTGCCTTCTTTCAAAATAAAAGTGTTAGAGCACCAAGCTTCCAGCAAGGGAAAATAAAACTTTGGGGTGCATCTATGCTGTAGAATGAATCCACTTTAATTGCTTTAGTTCATTGCTATGGAATCATGGGGGCTGACCAATCTCGCTGACAGTAGCTTTCTAGAATTTCAGGCAGAGATCTTTTAACACCATGTGCAGCCAACTGATCCTTTTATAACTGTAGATGCCAGGAACTGAATCCAGATTTCTCTATATGCTAAGAAACCGACCTACTGTGGTAATCGAGTATCAGCCTTTGGAACAAGTAGGTGGCTGGAGGTACTTGGTCTAAGCTGCCCATAGCTAAAGAAGTATCTTAGGAAGTGCAATCACTTCCTGCAACTTGAAATTAAGATCACAGTAAAATTTCTACTGACAAGTAGCTGAAGAGAAGCCTTATAAACCATGTGGGAATTGATAATTTATAATTAAGTGTTTGCATACCCACAAACAGCAAGAGATAACTTGAGTTGGCATGTGGGATTTGGCAACAGGGAACTAGACCTTTTTGTCCCTCATGTCAGATGAATTTAAACATAATTGATTTGAACTCGAACAGATGTACAGTACCATTTACTCTTCTTTGTTTTGAAGTTGCATTGCTGGCATTAATAATGAGTCAGTTCCAGTTCCAGTGCTTTTTCAAAATAAAAGGCTCATTTGAAGCTGCACACAATTCATCCACCAAACAGAACGTTTGCATGGGAAATAACACTAAAAAGCACACACATACCTTTTAAAACATTTGTGTATGTATTTATTCCAGTTTTTTATTTCAAAATCCAGGGAACATATGGCAGAGGAGGAAGGACAGTATAATAATAATAATAATAATAATAATAATAATCTCATTTGTTGTGACATACTGTGCTTTTGTGTCAATAATAATAATAATAATTTATTTGTAGACCACCCTATCTCCCCAGAGGAACTCAGAGTAGTTTCCAACATATATGACAAACATTCAGTGCCAGCAAGGAGGAACATACAGCCAAATTACAACAAAGCAGATCACATCAAACAGTATATAAACAACCTGACTTTAAAATTTAATAGCAAGCAAAATAGCAAAGATAAAACTTTAAAACCCATATAAACAAACTCATGATATTAATTTATTACTAGGTAAAACAACTAGAGGTTAATGTGTATTTGAGGAGAGAGACTGTTGAAGACAGTACAAATTATATTTTCCTTTACATATCAAAGAAATATCTCACTTAACATCATTTTTTCTGATTGTAGAGTTGCTGGGAAAAAGACATCTAAGCGCACCAAGTCAATCAATGGATCTCTCTACATCTTCAGGGGCCGAATAAACACGGAGGTCATGGAAGTTGAGAATGTGGAGGATGGGACAGGTAAGAAATCATATATTTTTTCTCCAACAAAAAGTACAGGTGCACTGTTTTTAGACCGGCTCTCTGTCCCTTGTCTCTCTATGTGAATTTTGCCACGTTAGAGTGGACACTTCTAAATCTGAAGGGATAATGAGAATCTTAGAGTTGGCAAATACCTTATAGGTCATCTTATTTATTCACTACTGATGCAGAACTTCCTCTGCTACAGGATCAATGACAGATGCCTATCCAGCCTCTACTTCAAAACAATAGACTCCATCACAAGGAATCTATTCCATTGTTGAGCCGCTTGAGCTTACTGCCATTTAGCTGAAATCTTTATTTCCAATTTGGAACCAAGGTCTCCAACCCTTTCCTCTGGGTCAACAAATTTTCCCCATCAAATATAGCACAGCCCTTCAAATTCCTGAAGATTGCTGCTTTTTAGTGCTCTCTTCTCCAGGCCAAACATGCTTACCTCTGCCCACTTTATGGAATACCCTTATGGCATACCTCTTCTTTACTGATTTCTGTAGTTGTTAATTACTTTTTTAAAAAGTCTCTTTTGCTGAATGAATGGGTGACATCCCACCTCCTGTTCTTCCCTATAGTATAGATAGTCCTTTGATTTGGCTTTTTTAACCAACATCATTCAGTGCTTAAAAGTGTCACTCATTGTTGTGTGAGAAGAAGGGAATGGTGTCCCATTCACTTTGGTTAAAAATTCTCATAGAAAATTATCTGTAGCAGCAAAAGGAAGAGATGGAAATGTCAAGATAAGATCACCCAGATTTCAGAGTAGAGACTAGTTTTATTTATCTACTGACGAGTGGGTGAATGTCAGGATAATGTCTGCAAGTGTTATAGTTCCCTCTATATTGTTGCAAGTGGAATACAAGATTGCTGTGGCAACTGACCATTATCTCAACAAGACAGTGATCTTCCTCTAGGTTGTAGTCTGAGCTTTAAAAGAGTTTCCCAAAGTTCTGACCATTGTCCTAGAGTAGATTCACTGTCTCCTCTGACATGGGGTCCTCGAACCACATGGAACTGAGAAAACTGGATTTATCATGCAGGCCACCTTTTGCTGACACTTGACATTGCTTTCTAAAAAAATGTCTGTGTGTGCACACACAAACATATTTTTAAGCAATATAGTTTCAACATGAAATAAATAATTGCACAAAAACACTCATAATCTTGTCCAGTGGAATTTCACTCTTCAGGCTTTGGCTCAGTTGCCATTGATAGTATTGGAAAGTATTCTACTAAATTTAGCTTTCTAGACATTCTAGTTGAACTTTCACATCAATAATGATCACTAGCTCTGTTAATATAAAATAGAACATTCATAGAGATTCAGTTCAGGTGAGCTTTGTGGATGAGTCAGTTTTTCAGGATTTGCAGTGACAATCTTGGTTGCCCTTCTGTGTTATTGCAGCAGACTACCACAGCAATGGTTACCCAGTGACAAATGGCTGGAAAATACATAACACCGCCAAAAACAAATGGTTTGTCTGTATGGCCAAGACGGCAGAGGACAAGCAGAAATGGTTGGATGCAATAATTAAGGAAAGAGAACAAAGAGAAAGTAAGTTCATGGTTAATATATTTTATGTGCTGAGTGGATAGCAAGACTGGCTTTGTATGTGTTTCTGAAAGAACCATGAAAGAAAGGAACAATTAGGCAGCTAAAGTGCCTGCTGTGTATTTTTAGTAAATAATGGTAAAAACAGGGGAGAGTTCAAGCAGCTCTGAAATATCCTTATTTTTTCATTTTACTGCCTTGGACATTGGAGTGTTCAAGTATCATAGTTACATTGGAGCACATTGGAGTGCTCAAGTAACTATAGTTACATAGTTACATGATCAAGTTCTTTTCTGCATTCAGTACATTAAAAGCTTTGGATTTACTTACTGTATATACTTGAGTATAAGCCTAGTTTTTCAGGCATATACTTTCAGGCTTTTTTAGGCTGAAAAAAATCCCTCTCGGCTTATACTCGAGTCAAGATTATTTATTAGTGAATTCTGCTGCTGCTGCTGCTGCTGTTACATTTATCATTTTACTCTATTATTATTACTTTTATTATTTTAGTTTAGTATTGTTGTTATTACATTCAGGACTCTGCGGTGGCGCAGTGGGTTAAACCCTTGTGCCACCAGGACTGAAGACCGATAGGTCGGAGGTTCGAATCCGGGGAGAGCGTGGATGAGCTCCCTCTATCTGCTCCAACTCTCTATGCTGGGACATGAGAGAAGCCTCCCACAAGGGTGGTAACACATCAAAACATCCGGGCATCCCCTGGGCAACGTCCTTGCAGACAGCCAATTATCTCACACCAGAAGCGACTTGCAGTTTCTCAAATTGCTCCTGACATGACAAAAATTATTGCATTTATTATTTTACAGTCATTACTATTTTACAGTCATTACTATTATTATTACATTTCCATTATTTTACTCTATTATTATTATTATTATTATTATTATTATTATTTTATCATTTTACTGTCTTTATTATTATTGGAAGGATATGTAAGTACCTTTACATTGAATTAGGTTAAAATAATGGTTTAATTAGAGTAGGGCAGTCTTATCTTAAATTACAGTTTTATGTAAATATTCAAAAACATTTTAACCTACTGATGTCTCAATTAATTTAATTGTATTGGTATTTATTTATATTTTGAAATTTACCAGTAGCGGCTGCATTTCCCATTCCTCAGCTTATACTTGAGTAAATTCATTTTCCCAGTTTTTGGTGGTAAAATTATGTGCCTCGGCTAATATTCGGGTCAGCTTATACTCGAGTATATAGGGTATTTGACTTGCAAGTGTCTTGTTCATTAAAAAATCCACAAGGAAAATAAAACCCAGCCTCCATACTTTTATCAGATATTGGTGGAATCTCTTGATAGACCAGTTTGTCTGTTGCTTGTATGCATAACTGTGGAAAAGATGGAATTTGAGTAAAAACAGGAAATGATAGGTTGAAAGGTCCAGAGCTTATTGTAGTGTTTTGAGTGTAGCTTCAGTGTGGTCTGGTTCATGCTCTATAGATCATGCCTATATGTTCCTCTCTCGCACTGAAAGTGGTGATCCCCAGGTAATTACAAGCATAGTTTGATCTTGTTTCCCTTTCTTTCTGTTCCTCCAAAGCATGCCTTGAATTCAATGAATGATAATTTTTGAGGCCAATGTGATGTATTAATCAAGGGTGTTGCTATGCCTGATAATGTGGAATCAAAATGCTATAATTATGTAGTACAAGGGGACCCCTTCGTTTAATGCAGGCACATGAATCATCTCTCACACATAAACAGAGACACACCATTCCTAAGCACTGCAGTTTCCTTTATCCTCCACCACTTAAAATGATAATGTTTATGGATCTTGTGGGCCAGATGCAACTTTCCCAGACTTGAGATAGACAACGCTTTCATCTTTCCTATCTAAGATCATTTACCTAAAGGTATCTGGGATTTAAACATGGGTCTTCTCCATGCACAGCACTTGCTATAGCAACAGGGAACAAGGAATCACTTGACCCGAAGGCAGTGTTTTATGCGAAACAGATTGAACAAATAGTATATTTATGATTTCATTCAAGAGTTCCTCCATATAAGTTCACCTACTTCCAAGATCAAGTCACTGTCAATGCTGACACAAGAAAAGTGGCTTCCTCCTAGAACAAGCTGAGCAAGTGATAAATTACAGTCTCCTGCTTACTTCAAAGCTTGGGGAATTTCATGATGCAGCCGCAAACTGAAAACGTGTCAAATAACTGGGCTGCTTTCTATCCCAACCTGACTTTGCAAATTACCTTTGGCAGAACTTGTCAGCAAGTATATTTGACTAACATCATGGTATGGAGGAAAATGGCACTCAGCCAAGAGGTTTGCCCTGCCAAGATGTTTTCACCAGACATCAAACCATGAACACAATGTGGGTTGTGAAAGGCAACATGTTGTATATTCTTATATCTTCAATTAGAGCATCTACATCTGTATCTCAGTGCCATGAAATGTGGTTAAAATTATACAGTTTTAGCCTAAGTTCCTTGAGGATATTGTGAAGCCATCAAAATGTGGGATGCCTACTTTTGTACTTCCATCTTAAGAATGAGGAATATGGTGTGTTTTCTCGTTTATTCAGTCTGGTCTGTATAACTTTCAAATTCATCCCAACATTCGGTATCTTGTGCTGAAATTGAGAGACCCAGTCAAGGCTCAAATCAGTGGACATCCAACAGATTAAGCATTGTTTTTGAAGGTGGAGAGGTGGACAGTATGGGCATTCTCAGACTGTACAAAGATCTTCATGAGGTTGTGACTTGTATGTAGGCCAAAGGAAAGATATGTGTGATGACAGAGGGGGCGGGGGATAGCCCAACTATTCATAATTCATCATTATGAGTCCCTCCTCGGAGGTTGAGAATGACAGGGTATACATGCCTGAAATAAACAAGCAAACAAACAAACAAACTTCCAGACTCTAACCACCATATTCACAAGCCATTATGATTTGGGGATTATGCAGTTTATGGTCCTTCAAAGTGCCCCCCCCCCAACTCTAGGAGGGAGAGATATAATATGTAACCAGTTTCAAGGAAAAGTAATGCCAACTTGGGTTTGACCAGCCATTTTTACAGTGGATGAAATGCTTTGCAAACATTTTACTTTAATACAGCAGTATTTCACCTACCAAACACTTGGAGGAATAGGCAATACAGATTCTCAAATGATCGGTTTAGACCTCTGTCAAGAGTGTTCTATCTATTCTTCAGTAGCCCTCTTGGAAGTGGGAAAGAGGAGGAAAGAAAGGAGGAAGAAATCACTGCGCGACAAAAATCAAGAAAGAGAGCAAGACTGAATGGTCCTATTTCTTACTGCTGCCCTCATGTTGAGAAACAACAAGGGCAGCATTGATGCACGTAGGATCTCCGCTCCTACTTCAAGCAATTATGGCAACATACAAATGAAAGAATTGGTTACTCATAATTTTTCTGAAACAGATTTAAAAGAGCTGGTGGAATCCTGACTATGGAGTCATTGCAGTAAGCTATTTATACAAATTCATGGGATCTGTTAAAGAGAGAGTAATTCAAAGAGCAGCAAGCATCAAATAGCCAAATAAAAGGAAGGCAGTTGGTCTCCAATTAATCCAATGAAGTATTAAGGGACATACTGTTTTGGAATTTCAGGTCTGAAGTTAGGCATGGAGAGGGATGCATATGTCATGATCGCTGAGAAAGGGGAGAAGCTGTATCACATGATGATGAACAAGAAAGTGAACCTTATCAAAGACAGGAGGAGAAAACTGAGCACTGTTCCCAAGTGCTTTCTTGGCAAGTAAGTGGCATTTGGGTTGAAAAGGCCCTTTCATTCCAATTAACGGAAAAGACCACGGGTTTTCTCTGGATGGTATTGTGACGCCAAATCAAATGTGCTTTGATGGGATTTAATTGGAAAGGTCTTTAACCTCCATTAAAATTAGTTTGTAAAAATTAATCATTCATTCTTACTTAATATCATTGGACAACATAGGAACATCAAATTTCAGAGTGTTGTGTGTGTGGAGTGGGGTGGGGGACATACTTTGCAAATATCATTCCAGATCTGGGAGGAGGAATGAGAAGAAATTACAAACACAATAAATGCTAGAATCATAAGTAGAAAATGTTTTTGACAGCCCTTCTTCCTGCCTTGCTACCTCCCCTCCCCTTTTTCTCCTGAGAAGGTGCGATCTTAAGAGATGCCTTTATATTTGTCTTGGCTTTGGTATCAAAATCAGGCATCTAAAACAAATAAAATTACTCCTGCCTTCAGTGGGACAAAGGGTTTTTACTATGGGAGAAGGAGGAATGTTATTGTTTCCAGGCCAGAAATTAGGAAGTAATGTTTAGCAATGAAGAGATTAGCATTGGAAGGGGAAGATAGGATAGTGCAACCTTGGAAGGGGAAGATAGGGAATATATTTAACCTGACCTCACAAATCTGAGGGCCACATCAAGTAATCCAAAAGGGCTTTTCAAGCTCATTGGAGCCATCATATAAGTATGTTTGGCTACTGGCCTGGGGTGGACTTCCCAGCCAGTTCCCCTGTATTTGTTCCTCTTTTACTTTCCAACTTGCTCATTCACCCACCTTGCACTTTGGCCCAGACAATGGAATTGTGAAGAAGAAGTAAAGAACAGCAGATGCCGTTGTGCACATGTTCATTGGGTCTCTGCAAGCAGGTGATAGCACTGACTTGAAATAGGAGGACAATCAGTAATAGTATCTGTTGACAATTGGAATAAGGGGATAATCTCGTTGAGAAGTTATCTCATTGATAGTTTCAAGCCTGATCTTCTTGTTTGTAAGAAGGTTGGACTGAATGGCTTTTATAGTCTCTTCCAGTTATGTTTATATGGACCTTATCAACTAAAATGATCAGTCAGGAAGTTTATTTTTGGATGCAGCTTATTTATATATGCCACTATCTCTTTCCTTCCTTCAGTATTGCAACAACATGCCTTGCCATACATGTGAAACAGAAGTGATATTGTGTCTCCATGTGTGTGCACGTAACAGGACTTTCTCTATAGCAGGATTCTAATTGTGGGACTCTCTGCCAATGAAAATTAAATTGGTTCAATTGCCTTTGTGCTATTGGTGGCTTGTTAAAATAACATTGTTCCACGTGACCATTCATATTTGAAACTTCTGTTTGATCACTTGTTTTCAATGATATTTAAGGATTGCTTTAAATTATTTGTAAAGATTTGAAGAGGATTTTTAATATGTACTGCTTTATATGGTACTGTTTGCAACATCTTGGGTTCCCTTGTGGGCTGGAAGAAAGGAGACTTCAAGTAAATCATAAATAGGGTGCTAGCTTGGAGAGAGATTGAATGATACTTTCCACTTTTAGTTATAGTATGAAGAGACAGGATGTTTATTGCTGCATTGTCACAACCGTGAGGTTACTACTATCTCTTTTTGCCAATATATGTAAAGTACCAGTGGGATAAAATACTTGTCAGTTATACCTTTTCATTGTATTTCTTTGGGTGTGTTCAAACTCTCATGTATATGTTGCTTTTTATTACCAGTCCTGCCTGACAACAGCTGTAAAGAGATCTATTTGCAATTGCACTGATTTATTTTTTTTGTAACCAAAGCCCCTTAGTCATGAACTGAAGTATACTCCTTTTTGTATTCTAGTTCCAGATGCTGAAATAGAGCTTGCAATATGCCTTAATCTTTCCCCATAGCTATCTTGCTATTTCAGTCATAGCTTCTTAATCCTTCCAAGCAAAAAGAAAAGAAGAAAAATAGTTGCGGGTTTCTAACTATAGCAGTCCTGCTGCTATTCTGGTCTTGACCACCCAGCAGGGCAAAGGCAGTACGTTTCAATCATCCCAGTCAATATGTTGTTGCGAACCTGTCATTTCATTTCTGACCTGCCCTTAAACAATTCCCAAAACTTGACCTGCACATTTTCTTGCTAGTCCAACCGAAAACACCAAAGAAGCTTTTTGACATACACATCAAATCATGCTTTTATAGTTTGTTTGACAGTTCTCTGTGTTTAGAAAGCTGTCGGCAAAGAACTTGATCTTAGCCCCAAACATAGTTGTTCATTTTGTCTAGGCTTCACTTGTTTCTTTCCTGATCTTACTAACCTTTCAGCTTGAATCAGTTCAAAAGTTTTTTTTCCTGACAGTTTTTGTTCTCCGGTAACTTCTAGAGGGAATCCAGCAAAAACATTATATTCCTTCAAATTCTTGCAAGTTTGTACTAGTTCTGTTGTAGTGCTAGGTAAATCTCTAATGTGATTGTGGAAGGAGATGGCAGTTGTACTCCTCCAGCTGTTTCTGGACCCCTGGTCCTGTCAGTCCCAATCTGAATGGTCAGTAGGAAGTCATGGTGGGAATTACAGTTCAACAACAGTAGTGAAGCAAAGATTTCCCAACTGTTTCATAAGTGAAGGACTTTGAGTATAGCAACACTATGGGCTGTGTTTTTGTTTTGTTTTGCTTACACAGTATCCACTCCTGGTAGAAATTATTTCCAATGTATTGCCAGTGCCTAATTTTGAGGGAAACTCCAATGATTAATTACAAAGTTATTTCCAAGAGCACGCTTTGCAGAGTCTTCCCAATAGTAGTTCTATGACTAGACCATATTATCTTTTAATCTGTGTGTGCTCATGGACAATTCAGGACATTGACTGCAAATTTAATGTGAATATTGCTAGTGAAATTGGGTCATTTAAAACATGCTGTAGTGTGTAATCCTGTTGTCCATTATATTAGCCAACTACCCAAGCTTTGCTCTTTTCCATGATACTGTATTTTCCCCTTCCATTTTCTGCTCTCCTTGATCTGCTTTCAAAATCTCAAAATTTCAAAATATACATCCAGTATATTCATCAAGCCTTTCTCTCCTAAATATTTTCTGTCAATTCTCCAAGCCTACTGATACTCCTTTTGTGTGTTAGGATGATGTTGTTTAGGTCAATGCTACTCAAAGTGTTAATCCTGGACCAGTTTGACCCATGAACCATTGGCTACCAATCCACAGACAGTGTCCAGAAAAATATGAAACATCTGTAGTGAATCAGTACAGAGGTGGTACTGGTGCCTGGCATATATAGTGGGTGGGGGGAATGGCTGGTCTCTCATACCAGAAAGCCTGAGGAGCACTGGTTTAGGCTACACAAGGAACCAAACTTAGAGGATGAGTTTGTTATTACTCAATATTATATTTCAGAGGTCTGGGTCCATTCCTTTACTCTGTCTCTGATACCCTTTAATAATAATGAAGGCACCTCTTAAATATACTATGATGAAAGCAGTTGTTGCTTTTAGAGCCATGTTCCATTTGGTTCTTTTTTTCTCCTCCCCAGAGCCAAAATAGCTAAACTGAATCATTCATACTCTGGCATACCATTAGACAGTGTAACTTATCAGAAAAAAATGCTTGGTAAAGTGGGAGGTAGTAGGAAAAAAGAGGACTAACAAGACCAGCCTGGAATACTATGTCCAATTTAAGGGAGATGTTGACAAGCTGGAATGTGTCCAGAAAAAGGCGACTACAATGATCAAGGGTCTGGAGAACAAGCCGTATGAGGAGAGGCTTAAAGAGCTGGGCATGTTTAATCTGCAGAAGAGAAGTCTGAGAGGAGACATGATGGACATATATCAATATGTGAGGGGAAGTCATAGGGACGAGGAAACAGACTTGTTTTCTGCTGCCCTGGAGACTAGGTCATGGAACAATGGCTTCAAATTATAGGAAAGGAGATTTCACCTGAACATTAGGAAAACTCCCTGTCTGTGAGAGCTGTTCAGCAGTGGAGCTCTCTGCCAAAATCCCTTTCCCCCTTTCACTTACTCCTTGAATTAGCTGTGCAGTCCCTCAGGCTTTTTCAGATATTTCCCATTTTTCTTTTTCTATGGGTTGTTTGTGTTGTTTTTTGCTTCCGACTCTTCGTGACCTCATGGATCAGTCCATGCCAGAGCTCCCTGTCAGCCGTCACCACCCCCAGCTCCTTCAGAGTCAAGCCAATTACTTCAAGGATACCATCCATCCATCTTGCCCTTGGTCGGCCCCACTTCCTTTTTCCTTCCATTTTCCCCAGCATCATTGTCTTCTCTAAGCTTTCCTTTCTTCTCATGATGTGGCCAAAGTACTTCATCTTTGCCTCTGATATCCTTCCCTCCAATGAGCAGTCAGGCTTTATTTCCTGAAGTATGGACTGGTTGGATCTTCTCATGGTCCAAGTCGCTCTCAGAATTTTCCTCCAGCACCACAGTTCAAGGGATTGTTTGTAATTTAGGTTTTTTTGGGAACTATTTCTTCATTAATTCCTAACTTCTAAGGATCCGGAGAACCCAAAATATCCTTTGTAAGCATACCCACTTGATCTAAAAATCCAGTGTAAGAGATCTGGCAAATCCATAAACTTTGAAGTTGTGCAAATTCTATTTAAGTTTCTCCAGCCTAAAGATGTAGAAATTGGTTTGTAAATCCTTTCATTTATATTCCCCTAACCAAGCAAGAAGCTTTTGTTTCTTTCTTCTCATTTTCTTCTGACCACACTACCTGTGGCTTAGATGAGTCAATCTTTCCTAAAAACACAAGCTAAAAATATAGTGCCCAGGGCACTGTAATTGTATGCATGGGTGCTGGTTTTGATAAGCAAGAATCTTACACAAGCTGGAAGATTTACAACAGTTTTATTGAACACAGATTTACTCTGCTTTCAGAAATCCTTTTCATGCTTTGTCTGGATTTTGCACAGTTTTGGAATAATCACCACTCAGGTTGGCAAACAGCCAAGTCCCTTCAGGGCACTGACAGCATCCCATTCATCATGTCATATTTCTTTTATCTCCCAAGTTATATTCTGTCTCCCCCCCCCTCTCCCCCCATCCACTGTTGCATTTAAGTGTACACAGTACAGATTTGTCTTCTGGTGTTTGTATGTATCTGTTGTGTGTGTGTGTGGGTAGGGGGGTACTACAGAATCACATTGCAGCTATCTTCTCAAATGTATGATGTCACTGTATCTTTCAATAATCCTGGGATTGCTGTCCACAATGTGTATTTTCTACTTTCCACCTTTGCAATAAGTATGTCAATTCATATGTGTATAAATGTGTGGGTTTCCTTGACACTTCTCTATATAATTGACTTATGGTGGGATTCCATCTCCAAGATGCCTCATTGTGAATGCAATGAAAATATCCCAGTAGTCTTTCCAAAATCAACAGTCTTACTTTATCTGGGTTATTGTGTGAAACAAGAAACTAGCAAGAGAAAATGAGGGGAACAATATTATGATTTTTTTTTGCTAAAATGCCAAGATGCCTTCCTCTGGAAAGGCACCAGTAAGGTTAATATTAGTTCTGTTTACTCCTAAAAGGAATTCTCATCTTGTACATTAGTACATTCACCTTGTATTTTATTATCACAATGATCCTGTGAGGTGAACTAGTGAGTTACTAGTCCCAATATCACTTGCAGAGCTTCAAGGATGAACAAGCATTTTAACTTTGCTCTCTCCAGTTTTTCTTGATATCTTAACCATTACTGTCACACAGACATGAATTATTTTGTATGTTGGACTAAAAGGTACTTTAGGGTCAGTTCACATTTTGCGTGTTTGTCTTCTTGCCCAAAGGGAGCAGAGATCTAATTGCATTTGTTGCCATGCTTCTCTCTACAGTGAATTTGTATCTTGGCTTATGGAAATTGGGGAGATAAGCAAACCAGAGGAAGGGGTCAACCTGGGACAAGCTTTGTTGGAGAATGGCATCATTCACCATGGTGAGTATTGCAGAAAAATATTGTATCAGGTGTAGTAATGCACTAGAAAATGATGATAATATAATAGTGCAGGCAGTCTCCAAATTACACACTTCGGACTTACAAACAACTCATAGTTAAGAACAGGGGTGAGACAACAGGAAATGAGAGAAGTCTACCCCTAGGAAGGGAAATTCACTCATTTAAACATTATCACGGGGGAAAGATGTCTCCCACTGAAGGTTTATCAACAATCCTTGTTTCCACAACAAGCCACATTTTTCAAGATCCAATTATCACAGGGATAGAAAGTGAGGTGAAATCTTCCAAACGGGGGCACTGTTCTGCCCCCACACTATCTAACTCAGGGGTCCTCAAACTTTTTAAACAGAGGGCCAGGTCTCAGTCCCTCAAACTGTTGGAGGGCTGGATTATAATTTGAAAAAACATGAATGAATTCCTATGCCCACTGCACATATCTTATTTGCAGTGCAAAAACATTTAAAACAATACAATAATTAAAATGAAGAGCAATTTTAACAAATATAAACATATTAGTATTTCAAGCTAGGTTGTAGCTTATTTCATTTTCATTTGAATAATGGGTTTTAAAAATCCTCTTTCTGCTGGGCAAATTCATTTTTTCCTATTTTAAAATTATTTTTGCTTCCTACTGAATCATGTGAAATATTAATTTGTGCAAGAAAAACGTGACAGGTTTCCACAGGAATAACCTGGCTTTTTTTTAAAAAAAAAACAATTTTTTTAAATACAGAATACACAGATTTTTGCATGAAAAACAATATGACACCAGGACTTAATTTTGAGATTTTACATTTTTCCATAGAGAATCTTCCTAGGATCAAAAATATATTCTTGTTAGGTAATGAGAAGATATTTTATCCCTTTAATTAAAAAAGAGGGAATTATAATCTTATGATTTAGGGCAAAATGCTATCATGATGTAGTCTGTGAAAATAAAATGCTTCCAATTAACTTTGCCCAAGTTGAACGAACCATTTTCTGCAAAGATCATTCAATATAGGCCATAGTATAGTGTACTTTAAAATCATCGGTTTCAACCTTACAAATGGCAGATGCCTCTGCTTGGTGAGTAATGTCCTGGAATATTAAATAGAAACTGTTTATTATTGTTCTGACACTTTAGTTTCAGATAAACACCACTTCAAGAATGAACAAGTGATGTACAGGTTTCGTTATGATGATGGGACTTATAAGCCAAGAAGTGAACTTGAAGACGTCATGTCCAAGGTATCTTCTTAATCTTGGAATTAGAGAAAAACTACATGATGACCAGAATATCCTTCAGATCATGGAGCATGTTGGATCTGGTTATATTATCCCTGAAATCTCAGATTTGCAGTTTGGGTGCAGTCCTTGACTTGGAACTGAGCTTAGAACTGATGTGTTGTTTTATGGTGTGTGCAGGGGAAGGCATGTAATTTCATTGTGCAATAGCACAATGACAAATAAAGCTATTCCATTCTGATGACAAGGTTTCAGAGGTTTCATCAGCAGCAGCTAAAACTAATGCTCCAGTAGCGCCCATTCCTAGAGATGGCCAGATCTGAACTGGTGCATGACTCAGGCTGAATTGCTGTTCCGTGATCTCTTTCAATTGGCTGGAAGCACCTTTGTCTTGTCTAGATAAAGAACATTCACATATACACACATGCATACATTTACTGTCCCATGTGCTATATACACATACAGACATACACAGAGATATATATACAAATCTGTGTTAACACTTTTCAGGCAACAAAATGTATTGAAAGAGTTACAAAACCATGAGTGAAGCCTACATTCATATTTTACATTTTAGAAGAGTTAGTAGGATCTGCCACTGCAGCTGTGAAAGGCATTTTTCTGTTCTCTTTTGACAATAAGGTCCTTGTAACAACTTATATTTAAAACAACAATATAATGATTGTTTGGCAAATGGTAGATTTGCGTGAAGCCCAAAGGAGTGGCTCGATGACAAATCGGATAGTATAGTATAGGAATATAATAAAGTATTACAAAAATCCACAAGCAACATATTCCACCAAGGAGGGATCAATACAACAACAAAGCTTTCTGATGAGCTGCCTAAAAATATTAAGAAGACTTGGCTGTCGCTTCTCTGCATGTGTTCATGATAACATTATCTCTTATGAAATTACAAGCCTTCATTTGTTTCTCTCTACAGGGAGTGAGGCTCTACTGTCGTCTGCACAGTCTTTACACTCCAGTGATAAAGTAAGTTCATTATCATTGTTCCTTTGTATTTTGTCTGTCTTCCTTCTAGCTATAACAGGCTTTCAGTTGAAAATTCACCCTCTCCTTGTGTAACCTGTAATAAAATAACAAAGCTGTTGAGTACTTGGAGTATCATGGCATTTTGTTAGATGACAGTGTTATGTTTTCAGGAGATGTATTTCTGCAGTTTTTAACTCGAGTCCTTTCATTATCCAGCAGTTGACATACATTAGCTATATGTATGTCAAAACATATAGTTAATGTATGTGACAAAAACGATAATACAAATTAGTATTCTGCAACTGGGTGATCAAAGCTAAATACAGGGAAATATATGAGATTATAGATATCTCTTATCTTACATAGTGTATATTATCAGTTTTGCTGTTTTGTCCAATTTATTCAATTTTTTTTGTTAATCTTAGGGAGGTAGGGAGGGGCAGGTCTTGCAATCACTTCCTTTTTTCCACGTGCACTTACTTGTAAATATGTCTCATACCATTTCTGTGTTAACCCATGGTTTTTAAAATGCCTTCATAAAAATGTGCATTTGAAATGTATTAAATAGATACTTTGAAGTATATTTTGTCTCAAAAAGATAAAGAGTATTTTTACACTGTTCCAATAAAACCTACTTATGCCTCCCTTCCACTTCCCCAGTTTATAAAACACGGTCTGCTTAATTGAGATACTGAGACAGCACTTACTGATTTAGTGTTTCAACTTTGAGATGCGGTATATAATTAACCCAGTTAGTAGACCATGCTTGAGAAGCACTCACTTGCCTTTTTTTGTTTTTTTAAACTGAACACCACTGATCACATAAAATGCTGGGGAGGAAAAAACAAGGTACACTCTTCACTTAAAAGGAGGAGGTTGGAGTCCCCGTTCCTGTAGTTGACCCCTTGTCCCTCAGTTTGCTGAGCAGATGTAGCATGGGGGTGACAAATCATTGTTGTGAACCATAATTTTGCTTAATTGAAAACCTTGTGACCTCACACAATGGCAGGACTCCAAGAAGAATAAGTGGTATTGCTCTGTATATGGGTGTGCATCCATGCTCTTGCGCACTTCCATGCTTCATCTGTTCCATTAAGCAAGTGATTCATGCATGAAGTAAAGAAATGAAATAGATAATCAATCCAGCAGAAAAACTGTCACTCACCTTAGAGCTTACCATCAGAAAGCTTTAGCCTCAATACTATTAATGATCAAAAATTATTTTTTCCTCCCTCTTGGAAGAAAAATTACAGTATTAAGTATACAAAGTAGCTACAGGTAATCAAAACAAGTTCTATACCAAGTTCTTAATGTTTTTTTGCTAATTGCTATTGTGTCCTCTGGAAGCTTCAAAGCAGCACACAATAATATGATTAAATACCTTTAAAATATATATTAAGGGCAATTTTAAAAACTGGTTCTAAAAACAAACAGCCAGGCAGAATAGTGCAGTTTTGGTTGCCCACTAAAAGCCCAGCAAGAATGAAGACATTCTGACTTCCCTTAGGAGGCAATTTTACAAAAGGGATCCTGTCTTACCTCCTGGTGTCATGGGGAGCCTGCTGAAGATCTCAAATTCTGGGCAGGCACCTTTGTGGGACTGAGGATGATCTTTCAAATACTTTGGCCTCAAGGACTTCATTCATTGAACCGCAGACTTTAAATTGAGCTTAGAAAGAAATGGGAGTGACTCATAGTAAGGAGTTAGCAAGCATAACAGAGCACTTCATAATAAAATTGGAAGTCACAGATGAAATGTTCGTAGGAATAAGTGTCACAGTTGATCAGGAAGCTAGAATGTCTCCAGAGGAGGGCAACCAAAATGGTAAAAGGTGTGGAAGCCTAGCATTATTAGGAGCGATTTAGGGATCTGGATTTGTTTAGCCTGGAGAAGAGAAGGTTGAGAGGTGACATGATAGCCATGTTTAAATATTTGAAAAGGTACCATAGTGGCTGGAGTAATACATTCAAATTACAGGGAAAGAGATTAGGGAGAAGTATCCAATGGCAAGAGTTGTTTGATGGAGCAAAACCCTGCCTCAGAGTACGGTGGAGTCTCAGGGTTTTTAAACAGAGGCTAGGTGGCCATCAGTCAGCAATAGATAGCAGGGGGTTGGATAGGATGGTCCTTGTGGTCTTCAACTAAGTTTAGCTGATTACGAACATGCCCTTCAAAAATCTGGAAGCATAATAATGTGGGGTTTTTTTTAGTTTTATTACATTTTGCTATTTTTATTATGCATGATCAATTTATTATACCATCATTCTTTAAAAGGCTTTTTACCTTAAGACTACAGAAAGAAATATTTTGTGTACGAAACAGTTGATATGAATGAATAAATGAATAAATAAGCCATGCTCTGCCCAGCCTGGAATGTCTTTTGAAACTGCTAGCAATGAAATACTATGATGACATTAGAAGAATCAAGCTACAATCCTGGGATGGGGAGCATGGGGCCTTTCAAATATAGTTTTGACCCATTATGAAGCTTCTGTCATCCTCACCATATCCAGTGTTAGCTAGGGTGGATGGGAGTTGTAGTCTAACAGCAACTGGAGGGTCAAAATTGCTGTAGGCGACATAATCATCACTGGAAATATATTTTCATTCTATAATTACAATTCACTGATTTCTCTGCACAACCATATTTTTAACAGTCTTTTCATTTTCTCTTATGATCCAGAGACCGAGACTACCACTTGAAGACCTACAAGTCGGTGATCCCAGCAAGTAAATTGGTAGATTGGTTGATTGCTCAGGTAATGAGAGTGCACAAGTATTGATGTTTTTTTTAACTTGGCTTCTTTGTTCATTCCTTTTATCTCACACATATTATCACAGCATATGGCTTTGTATTAAATAAAAACGTTAAGCCAATAAATCTGTGGAGCCAATGTAGATGATATGGTAGCTGGCTTTGGATTAGTGTTATGAGGCCAGGTGTGGGCTGCAGGATCACATTGTTTCATATCTCTACTCTTCTTTTGCTGGATATACACATCTTCTGCACTCCTCTGCTGCCTTATATCTATAGCATCCAGTGCTAGCCTAGCTGTAAACATCTCAATTTAATCAGTCATTTTTAGGTACTCAAAACTATTAAAATATTGGCCAAAACAAGATTTAAGTTTCCAGTTTCTAAGTTAAATTAATCAGTAAATTCTTTCAGCCTAAATGAACTGGCAGAGTTTTGAAGAACTGTTCCTTCTGTTTGTGATTTGGGCTCAAACAGACACAAAGATCATTTACTAATAGAAAAGTCTGGTTTTCATTCTATGCCTGGATCTAAAGGTCCTGCAGCATAATCATATAAAATATACTTTCTGTCATATTGAATTCATAATGTTTTAGCAACATTATTTTCATGACATTGTTGGTAGCTTGGGCTTTCTTTCTTTCTTTCTTTCTTTCTTTCTTTCTTTCTTTCTTTCTTTCTGGTTTTGATCGGCATAGCTTAGGTTGCTTGAGCATAATTTCAAACATGAGAGCTCTCCTTTCTTCACCCTGCTAACATGGAATATAATAGAGAAATTTAAAATTATTAGATTGACAGAGAAGCTGAAGTTTGTATCAGTGGTGGCACAGATCTGACATTGCACTACATTTCATTAACATCTATAGAATATCCTCAATCCAATATTTAAGAACATAAGAAAAATCCTATTCCACAAGGCCCATCTAGTTGAGAAGTCTATTTTCAACATTGGTCAGCAAAATGTCTGTGGGAAGTCAGGTTTTAGCACAGCAGGTTAATCATCTAGTTGCAATAAATCTTGCTAACCAAAAGGTTGACAGTTTGGAGCCCGGGTCAAGGTGAGCATTTGACCTCTAGCCCAGCTTCTGCCAACCTAGCAGTTTGGAAACAAATGTGAGTAGATAAATAGGAACCACATTAAAGTGGGGAGGTATTTTAGGCATGGCATTTCAATCAGAAAAAGGAGAAAGTTTACAAACAAACAAAGCTCTTTGGCAAAGAGATGTAGCAACAGCACCCCCCCCCCCCCCCACCCCCGTGTCTGGAGCCGAGCGCAGCCTCCAAAGATGCCGAAAGATGGGAAAAGCCTATATATACCTTTATCTGTTGTCTGTCTTGTCATTGTATAATTGGCATTGAATGTTTGGCATATATGTATTCTGTGATCCACCCTGACTCCCCTTCAGGTAAGAAGGGCAGAATATAAATACTATAAATAAATAAAATAAATAAATGCATAGATCAGTGGTTCTCAACCTGGGGTCCCCAGATGTTTTTGGCCTTCAACTCCCAGAAATCCTAACAGCTGGTAAACTGGCTGGGATTTCTGGGAGTTGTAGGCCAAAAACATCTGGGGAACCCAGGTTGAGAACCACTGGCATAGATGTATGCAAAGATAGCATTTTGTAACCTGCCTTGAGCTGTGAGGAGAGGTGGGTAAGAAATAAAATTTTGGGGGAGATTTTTAGTGTGGATTAGTGATTTGAGTATTGACGACTTAAAGCCATAAAACAACAAAGAAAAATAACATTTTCTGTTTGGATATTATACAATATGGGCATAGTGATGTTAATTAGCCAAATTATCTGCTTTTCTGTCCTTGACCAATCCTGTATGGAATTGAATTGCATCTTGTTACTGAAAGAAATGCACTGTGCCCCGGTGAAAAGGAATGGAGTGATCATAAGGCTGGGAGGGGATATAAAATAAATTGCTGCTTGTCGGTGGCAGGTGCCATGTTAGAAAGGTAGTGAATCTCCACTGAGTTAACAGAAATTTGACAGAAGTTATCAAAACGTCTGAACCCTAACTCCAAAATAGGTTCAGCAACCTGAACAACGCCTCTAATATTGGAATCAAAATCCAGTTTGGAGTTAGTAACATTTAACGTTGATACACATTTTCTAATTTGAAACAGGTCTGCTCTGTGAGTTATTCCTTTTTCCCTTCCAAAAAGACAGGAGTTCCCTTTTTGTGTGATTTCTCTTATTGAATGGTACATATATGTCAAAAGGTTATTTTAAAAGTTATTGTCTACAGGAAAAATGCTGGGATTGCTAAATGTAATCAGGCACTCCTGGACATTTTTGCTGCCCCAGTTATCAGTTCTGGCAGAAGCTGACCATAGAATTTTGCTGGAGGACCTAGGGATTTTCCTCTTTCAGTTTATCCATTTTTGTGTGCCCCTAATCTCAGTGAATGTGGAGGACTGACCATATTTTAAAGGGTTTTTAAAGTTATGTTGTTTTAATAAGATATTTTATTTATTTAATTTTAAAAAGGGTTCTTTTAATCATAATGATTATCCTAGCTGTAATTCCTTTTAATCTGTGCTGGAAGCCACATTGTTAGGAGAAAGTAAGGGTATAAATTAAGGTTAATTAAATGAATAGGAGCCTTTTGATCTATCCAAATGCTTGTGGCATGACGGAAGCATGAATGGAACTGGAATTTCACTTCCCCTACCCCTTCCTCCCTTTTTCATAGATGTCCCCCTTTAAAAATATTACTCCTTTAAAAGAAAAGAGAAAGAATTAATTTAGCCCAGGCTTGATGCCTTGGACATGCGGATTGGGAAGGCTATGGATCCAGAAGACCATTGGCCTCTCAGTCCCTGACTGCTGGTACAGTGGAGCACAATTCTTCTCCTACTAAACAATACGAGTTGTGGAGAGAGAAGGAGACACTACACCAATTTCCAAAGTGTCTTGGAACAATAAAGAGCAAGTTTCCAAGATCAGAACTTTCCTTCAAGAATCAGATTTTCATCTTAAGACCTCAGAGGTGGATTTATGACCACCTTTGGTTTCTGGGACATATGTCCAGGATGATAGTCTAGCAGCCTTAGCTAAGTAACAACTATTACTAGTTAACTAAGAACATTGGTGTGCAAATATAGGCAGCAAAATAACTTGGTCTATCCACAGGTATTAACTGTTTACATTATGCAATGTACTCATATCCAGAGATACTAAGGTACAGGCCTTGAACCTGTTAAAGCTCATAATTTCAATACACATTGTCCCATTCTGGTCTGACAAACAATTACATTTAGAGAAGGAAAAGTATGTGACAATGGACAACAGGCAGCAATAGTATATCAGCCTCTTGGCTAGAGTGAACTATTTGAGCAGACTATAGAATTTCAATTGTTGGACCTCCTAAACCTGAGCTCATTCTGGCTTGCTCAGGTTCCAAATCCTGAATGAGATAATTCTGTAACATTGAGGTGTAGCTCCCTTTCTAGATATGGAGAGTAGTAAATCCTGTTTAAGAACTTCACCAGGTGACATGTGAACGTATAGGTATTTTTTCCCACATATTGCTGATTGCTGTACCTGGTTTATATACCATACATCAAGCTCAAAACTCAGCAAAAGTATTTCTTGAACTCTGGCTCCCAGTATCTCCTAGTGGCCATGTTGACTGTGCATTTGGAGAATTTTATTCCCAAAAGGTGACTTTTCGAAGCTCTTTTATTACCAGTGTGTATCTGGTTCTGTAAAGAAGCGCTGTTGATACTGTATGACTGGAAGAGGTGTGAGAAAATATATGTCCATCTGCTGAGAAAGTAAGTTATGAGGAAAATGCATCAGTGTGTCTTAAATGATGCCTAGCATCATTTCTATGCATATTGGAGAAAAAGTATGCAGGCGTTTGCTCCCTATCCAGTGATTAGAAATGTACATGAACATGCTATGTGTACAGCAATAAATTCTGTAATTTCTTGAAGCTGGAAACTTAATTTTCCAGAGATTTTCTGTCATGCATTCCAGCCACTTTCAGGCTCCCACTAGGCTTGTAGAAAAAGCTTCTCCCATAAATACCTATTTCCTTCTCCCATTGGACATGCAATATATATGTTCCAGACCTTTCTTTTTCATTTTCTTACATGTAGCTTCATTCTCTCTAGCACTATATCTCTTATTCTCTTAACCCAAGAGGATACATATTGCAAGCCTTGGAAGCAAGTTGGGTTTACAAAGGCAAACATTAAAGACGTTCTCTTCCATTTTGATTCAGTATGGGGATAAAGTGAAATTGTGTCCCCAATTTATGATCAACTCATTTTATTCCTATTGTTGAGGCTTCGAGTTGCCATATGGCAGGATGTTGAAATGGAGCAGATGCATGTTAACCCTCCAAATTATATTAGTGTCAAAAACTTTGGCTAATGCTTATTAATGCCCATGGCTTGCTTGTGTTTAACAGGAATTTTGAAGTCAGTTTGGTCAACCCTTGTGATTTTTATATTTTGACCTCCTAGAAAATTGTAGCTGCTTTTTCAGTCACAGATACTCTTTTCCTCAGAATTAAAAGTGGTAGTATATAAATATTGTTGCATAAAGATATAATCATCAAATTGCACAGGTTTGCTCTACACTGCACATTTTAATTTTCAAGAATCAGGGATATTAATAATTTACATTACTTTTAGTTGCTACTAAAACATCCAGTACCCACTGCCTTTCCTAGGAGGTAGATTCAAGATTGCTGCTGTCTACTTGCCTTCCAAGTAATACTTTACTTTCAATTCAGGAGCCAGAGATGAAAAGAAAATTAAAGTTACACAAGTAGTTTGGTTTCTTTTTCTATTTTTGTCCAGCTGCTTTCTTCTACTTTTGCTTCCAGGGCAAAAGAGCAGCTGCTTCACAAAAAAGAGGGAATGAAAACAACCCCAGTGCTTAATTTCCTTGTCCTCCCATGCTGAGATCAAGAAGGCAACTACAAGCTCGTATAAGCAGCCGTAGAAGTAATCATAGTGGTTTGAGTGATAGTGGTTTGAGTGTTGAACTAGGACTTTGAAGACCTGATTCAAGTCCCTGTTTGCCCATGGAAACCCATTGGATGACCTTGGGCAAGTCACATTTTCAGCTTTAGAAGACAATAGCAACTCTTGAATAAATCTTTTACAAAAGCAGTGAGGGCCTTGTATTAGGGTCAACATAAGCTGAAAATTACATGAAGACAGATAATAACAGCAACATGCAGTAGCTATACCGGTCAAATGTAGATGGTGCACACAGTCATCTAATCAGTACAGTGGTCTACATCAATAAATGGAATTCCAGCTAGAAATGATTGTGGTGGTGATGATAATGAGCATCCTCCCCCTTTTTACAAAAGTTAACAGATTAGGCTGTGTGCAAAAGTTAAAAAATACAATTAAGCTGCCAATAAAAGCAGTTAAAGCAAACTATTAGAAACAACAACAAGACGACACTACACAAAAGGCCTTTTCCATCTGAGCAGTTACTTCTCAAAGTCCTACTGAAACAAAAAAAGTTTTAAAGTGTACACAGAAGGAAAGGGCACCAGCCTAACGTCCCCAGGAAGGAAGTTCTGGAGACTGGGAGCAACCACAGGAGAAAGCCATTCCCTGTGCCCTTATCAGATATACTTGTGAAGGTTGTGGAAAAAAGAAAAAGATTCCCAAGAAGATCTCAAAAGAGAAGATCCCAAAATATAATGTTTATTATAGAAGAGCTCAAATTAAATATCTTCTGAGACTTCACTGGAAAAAAAATGCAAAACAGAAAATCTCAGATTATGATGTCAGATTTTCATTCTGTTCAAATTGAAGTTTTGTAGTATGAACTAATTGCTAGAACACCAAAATTCAGGTTGTTGGGTTGATTGTTGAATATTACTAATCAGAATAAAACTTGAGTACTTGTTATTAGAAAGTTTAATAATAGTATTGGAAAAGTGGGTGCGTGTTCTTCAGCTGAAATTCCTGCTTAAATGTCAGAGCCATTAATCTGTCATTTCCCAACTATTTATATTGACTTCTCTTTTCCAAACCACAAGTTAATTTTCTGTTGAAGGGAAAGCTATCTGCAAGGTGGATGACTGCAGATGACTGCAGACGATTTGGGTAAATGAGCCAGGCTGCTCACTGGAGAGGAAATTTTCCTTCATTCCAAGCTCATTAGCCACTTTGACATGGGAAGAACTCCTTCCTGTACTAAAATAAGGCAATCAGTCAGCATTTAAACCCAAGGCAGGTGTGTCATAACCAGCTGTTATAAGTGACTTTAAAAACATGAACCATGTTCTATTCCTGTATCATGTAGTGATACTGCACCCCCTTAAATGTAAAAGTAACAAAAATTAGTGTTATTCTGTGAAAGGATGGGTTATACCTTTCTGAATTCAGTGCTGATATTGAAAAAATTCATACAACTAGTTATTTATAATTAATTACTTACAGATTATAGAACTGTTAACTGCACCATTATGAAGTGCAGGTAAAGAAGGAGAGTGGGGGCATCCACATTGTTTTCTGAAACAGTCCTTGATATCCTTGGAGAAGAGAAATGTTCAAGTGGGGGAATGAGGGGATGATCTTACTGATTCCAGAGGGGCCTGTATGTGTGTATGAATTTTCATTAATGGTAATAAAATTTCTCAAACCACAATAGAAGAAACATATATGATTTTTTTTTGTTGCACAGTGCTTTGCTTGTATGCTTTCCTTCCAAACAGCCACCCACACAAATGCCTGTGTGGATAAATTAGGCCCCACACAACAAAACAAATATGTCTGGGGTTTTTTTTGCAGTTCAGCCAGAAGACTTTTTACATAACTACTAGGAATATCGTGAAATAGCTCTCAAATTAATGTAATGGATCGTGGGGGTTGTTGTTTTTGTTAAAATGTCATGTTTTTTTGGAGATTGGGTTCTGGAGAAAGAGTGTCACAAAGACATTGTACTTAATCTAATGTAATCTAATAAGGAGTCTTCACCCCTTACTCCTCTGTGGGTTTGGCTGCCTCTTGCTCTGAAGAGGTGTTTTATTATCTGTGGCCAATGGCAATGAATCCAAACTATTGCCTTTCCCAGTTAATGTCCATCTCTGTATTGAGTTAACGTGCTGCAATTGTGGGCTGAAACAGCTGCTTTCCGGAGCTCTGGTCTTGGTCCTTCCCATTCCTGTGGGAGGCAGGCAGCACTAAATATAGGCATTAATGGGATTGAAGCAAAGGGAATCCTGTTTTAATTGCTTACTATTGTTTCTTTGCAAAGAGCACCATGCTAATTTGAGAGTTGGGGCCCCGGTCAGAGGGGCAGAGGGATGTTGTGTGAGTTAGGAAGTGGTTTGAGGTGTAACATTTGTCCTTTCTTGTTACTAGGGAGACTGTCAGACGAGGGAGGAAGCGGTCGCGCTGGGTGTCGGATTCTGCAACAATGGCTTCATGCACCATGGTAATCCATCAATATCCCCTTATCCTAGGCAATTAACAGGAGACTCTTCATTGCCTCATTAGCCAAGAAATGTGGCAAGTCTTTGTCCTGCAGAACATTTCCATCAGCACAAAATCATGGAAAAGGCTCTAAACTCATTCTTTGTGGTGCAAACTTGAGAGCCCTAATGCTTCCACAGTTTGAATACTGAGCTATTTCTGTGTATTTATGAGTATATTTGTGTCTTTCTGTCATGGAAGTGCAAAGTTTCCTCCTTTTTAAGACTGTGAAATTGAAGGGATCAGAGAACAGAGTTCATTTCACCAACTCCTCACAGATTAGTTTTTAAATATAACACAGTACACAGAGAAATAGGTTTAGATGAGTTGTTGGAGGCTATACACTGTGGAAGACTTAAAACACATGACTTCCAAGAGATCTGCTCCATAGGCCAATACAATCTTCAACCACTCCTTCAAAGACTTTGGTAGCCATTGCTGCATCTGATTAATGTTTTGCCATCTTTGTCTTCGCTCTGCCTTATGCTTCCTGCTCTTATTTTGTAGGTATGTAACCTCCTGTTAGGCAGCACACATTTGCTCTTCACTGAGTCTATCAACTCTCTCTGCCCTTTTCCTGCTTCACCAGTTTTCTGCTTCACCAGCTATTTCCATTTTGTTTCTTGTGCACACTTTCCTTACTGATCCAAATAGTTTTCTGGGACACAATCCCAGAATGTCTTTCTGCTCTGTTCTTTTGTCTTGCGATTTCCATTAGGTGCTAGGTTGAGCTTGCAGAAACAATAAGTATCTCTTCTGTGATAAAATATAATTGTTTAGTGTTTGGAAATGAAGATAGGAACCTATTTCTGCCCAACATGCAAAGTTTGAAACACTCATTGGCTTGCCATGTTCATATAGCTAAGGCAATTAGAGTGAGGAGTGGAGCTGAGATTCAACTGGAAGAGAAGTGAGAATTCCCTCTCACTGGGAGTTGCAGTCCAGTAACATTTGGAGGGGGACACATGATTGCATTATGTGTGCATGCTTAGTGTTGGACTAAGTGAGACTACGCTGTAGAATTGATGCAGTTTGACATCACTTTAACTGCAATGGCTCCTTGCCATGGAATCCTTTGGTGAGTCCCCAGCAATCTTTGGCAAGGATGGCTAAACAGCCATGATAGTTAAAGTGGTGTCAAACTGCATTTATTCTACAGTGGAGATATACCCTTAGCAAAGTGAGTGCCAGGACAGTCTGTGAGAACACGAACCGTTTTAGGCTGGAAAGGAATTAGTGATATGTAAGACATGTCAGTGTTCAATAAATTTCAGTAATGATGCACACACTGTTCTTTAGCTTCTGTCTCTGCATCATTTATAACCAAATGAAGATTCAGTAGTTCCTCTCCCAATATTTGGGTATGGCATTGTTCTGCCATACCAGTAATTTAAAATCATTTTTTAAAATAAAGGAACTTGCAGACTCAGTGAGCTTTAGAAACACAGAACTACAGCTTTTGCTTCATTTGCACTTTCCAGCCTATTAGCTTATATACAAGCATTTCAGGAAGAACTGCCCTAAAATGAAAAGTAATCCCTCTCCATTCATCCATTTTCCTGCATTCTCCCTTTGTCTATAATACAAGAAACTTAAACCATATGAAGACTCAACAAGCTTAAGCCTTGTCATCTTTGTCAGGCAGCTTTGATTAATGTAACTCATTTCCCTTTTCCCTTTTTGTTCCCGGCACACCGCTATTATGTTCTGGATGGCTGAAAGGGAAATGTGTGAAGGCTGGCCTCAGATATGAATCTGAGAGTTATAGGAAGCTTTTCCTTAATTTATTGAACTGCCATGAATGAAAACTAGCAGTTGACTCTTTTGAAATGTTATTTTTTGAATCAGTGGGGACACTTTGTAAGTAAGGCCTTATACTACTTGTGCTAGAAGCACTTTAATAATAATCCAAAGGATAAGTGAAAAAGGATTCTTAGAATTGGTTTCCCTTTATTTATGAGATGACCATATACCTGTCTATATCTATATGTTTATTGGGGGAATTAACAAATAGGTTTGAAAAACATAAGCATCCACAAGTAAGCTGGTCTACAGAAACAATTGATTATAGATATGTCTGTTCCTATGGCAGCCAGCATAATGTAGTGGTTCGAGAGTTGGACTGCAACTCTTGGAGACCAGGGTTTGAATCTCCACTCAGCCATGGAAACCCACTCATTAACATCAGAAATCCAAGCCTTCTGTTCTTTATAGTTTGCTGATTTAGACCACTCTGTTTTCAGTAATTTTTTAGTGGATAATGGTATTATCCTTTAAGTTGAGGGCATGTGATGTTAGGGTCTTACGAGGTGCATTCATTAAAGATTTCTCCTAACCCACTTCTATTTATCACAGGATGCTGAAACTGCAAATGTGTAATGATAGAAGTCTCTATAGATTACGTGCAAATTTACAGCTCAGAACTGATAACGGTCTTGAATTTACAGGTGCTGAAGTGGTGTGAGGTTTGATAATGGACCTAGTGGAATTCAGAGCAGTCATCAAGTTCCTTTAATTGAAAGGCCGCACACCAAAGGAAATGTTCAATGAGATGAAAGAAGTTTATGGTGATGATTCCTCATGATATGATGTAGTCAAAAACTGGCATCATCAATTCAAACGTGGTCGGACTTTGATGCAAAAAGCTCCAATTCCAGGGCGACCCCACTCTGCTATTGATGAACATACCATCTAGCAAGTGGAGGTCACCATTTTGGAAAATCGTCACATAACCATTCACCACCTAGCTCAAAATGTCAAGATTAGTATGGGGTCCATGGAAAAAACAATCCAAAGCCATCTTCACGTGCATAAGGTATCTGCTCACCAGGTTCCCCAGCTGTTCACACCTTTCCGGAAACAGGCACAAGTCGAATGCACTCAGGCTCTATTGATGATGTGCCATGAAAACCAGGAGGACTTTTTCCATGGACTGATTGCACAGGATGAAAGCTGGGTCCATCACTATGATTTTGAGATTAAGTCCAGTTGATGCAATGGAAGCATCATGACTCACAACCTCCAAAGAAGGCACGTGCCCAATTCTCGGCAGGTATGGTCCTGCTCACAGTACCAGCATAGAGTAGTATTAATGGATTTCCTAGCAAAGGGTACCATGATCACTGGGGCATACTATGCTTCACTGCTGCAGAAATTGTGGGAGGCCATCAAAACCAAGAGACATGGCATGCTCACTAAAGGTGTCCACCTTCTGCAAGACAGTGTACCAGTTCACAACTCACCCAAATGGAAGCATGCTCCTGTTACCTTGATATTCTATCACATGCCCCTTATTCACCCAACCTCGCACCATCGGACTTCCACCTCTTTCCAACAATGAAGTTATTTTTGAAGGGCAAGCCTTTTTCAAATGATGAGACTCTGATTACCAAAGTCACAATGTGGCTTTTGGAACAACCTGTCCACTTCTACAAGCGAGGTGTTTACAGTTGCTTAAAAAGATGGGAGAAGTGTGTGTCCCTAGGTGGCACCTATGTAGAGAAGGACTAATAACCAAGTTTCATTGCTCTCAGTCCACAGGAAGTGGGTCAGGGGAAATCTTTAATGAACGTCCTTCGTAAGTCTATAAATCAAAATAGATAGGTTCTCTTCATCCTTTTTGTCCTTTCCTCAAAGTTAGCATCCTGTGGCCCATTTCACATTGGACTTAGATTCTCCAAATACATTGCCAGTTTCATTTTTTTCTTTTTTGTTAATTATACTTAGTATGTCAGCAAATCCTGGATTTCCTTCAACCCTACTAATACTTCTGTCTGATCCATCTGTGGTGCTACTTTTAAGCTACTGAAGTATTGGCAGAATTCTGTGAGCATTAGTAATGGAGGAACGAAAACAACCACATCATTTCAAATAATGCCATCAGGGAAGAACTATGTAGAGTTTTAGTTAGGACAAGTTCAACAGTGCTGAGTAAAGCAAAGAAAGTAGACTCAAGTGTAGGTGACTAGAGTTGAATGCAGCACCATCTGTAAGTATTGATTAAAAACCTTTTGTATGATAGCTGCAGTAGTAGTAGCAACCTGTGACATGGTCTCAGAAGAAGAAGGAGGATAAATAGGACATGACCCCTCCTTTTAAATGTGTTCAGCACATCCCAGCCAAGTAAATGATTTTAAAACTGTCGAAAGAGAAAAGACACAGCTGAGGAGTTAATTTAGTGCTGCAGACACTCACTGTCTTTCTATGGAGTTGGCTGGCCTTTGGAAGCCTCACAATGGACCTATGTTTACGATCTGGGTTTCATCCAAGCTGTGGATGAAAAGCAGCCGTTGTTTTGTGTCATCCCTTGGATGTTTCAGATTCTGTGTCAGTGGTGCAAAACCCATTCCTGTCTGCAGGGACAGAATGTTAGTTGTGCTTCAAGGAGAACAAGTTTGTCCCATGGGGACTGGCAGGATATGGACAATGATAATTGAGAACTCTCTGGAAGTGAAGAGGTGGGACTCAGCACTACATAGAAGTGTGTCATGGATCATTAGCATCTCATCTGTTGCATCCTTTGTGAGTTGCAAAATATTGTGTCCATATACAAAACAGTGTGCAAATCGAGCAGTACACCAATAATTAGAACATAAAATTGGTCATGCTGGAATGTTAAGCTCAGTGTTTTGTCTTTCATCTCTTGTCACCCAGGATCAAGCTACATACTGAAATATATAGCATGCAGGTTTCATATTAAGTTTTCTTTTCTTGTTTCCTCTTGGATCAGAACCTCAGGATAACAATATGAGGGAAAGAGAACAAAGATACCCATATACATCTGCATGTTATTTATTTCAGTGTATACTCTTGACTCTCATATGCCTCAGTGTAACTTCCAAATATTAATGCTTATCTACTATCAGTAGTTTGTCCATCTATTGCCATATCCACTCCCTTGCTCTCTGAAAAATAAAATTAGGGTAGAACTGGGACATAAAAACTATCAGTGTATTTTCTTTCTAAAATAACTAATATTTTGGGCAATAGTTGATGTGAGAATCTACCAAAAGAAGCCATCCAGTGGTCAGGACTGGACTTTGGGTAGCAGTCTGGGATTTGCTGGGATGTACCTGGAAATTAGGACTGAAGAGCTAGTTGAGATCAGAGACCAAGAGGCAGGATCAAAGAGCAAGCGAGAAGTGAGGACAAGAGACTGGGCCTATCCAGACAGGCCTTAAAACGGATACCTGTCCCAGTTTTACCTGAGATTTCCAAACAATGCCTTCAGTAAAACCAAATTAATTTGGATCAAACCAGGGGTTTTCCTGGTTTGATCCAAATTAATTAGATACCCCATTAGAAACAGGCCTTCCTGAAAGGACTGGTTCTAATGGGGTATTGGGCCTGTGGGGACTCATCTCTGGGTAGTCCTGGGACTTCCCAGGGGTAAGTCCCCTTTGCCATCTCACGCCTTTTGGGCTCCTACCACCACCCCCAAATAAATCCTAGAAATAAAATAAAATTTAGCATGCCACCATTATATCCCTCCTCGGGCTCTCCTGGTGTGAAGAAATGATTCTCCAGGAGACTGGAGAGGGTGAGGATGGGTAGAAGGGACCCATGTAGATACTCCCCTGGTGAAAGCTCGGGGTTTTTGTGTGTCATGGGGACTTAAGACCACACCAAAGCAGGTTTCTTAAACTACTTTGGCATGGGTTTAAGCCCTGTCTGGAAGTGTCCTAAGTGAAGGCTAAAGAACAAAACATGGGGCTGGATCAGTAAATCCTCCAGAAGGTGGATTGCAGGACAATTAAAGGATGCAGGGACATACTGGAATTCACAATGACTGTCTTATTCAAGAAAAAATCATTGCAAGTTCTGTTTGTTTTTGGTTTTTTGTCTAAATGTTTCTGGAACTTCACTGCATGGACAATCTGTCTTGGACCCCATGAAGTTTGACACTAATATACCATACAGAATAGATCAAGTGACAACTGTAATTTTGTCTCATGATTACATCACATGTTCTTTTGCCACATTTCACTGGCAAAACAAATCCAGGAAAGAAAGACTAAAAGCCAAGTACGATGCTTCAGTACAGACACAGATAAAAAATATTTAAGAAATAGCTTTCATTGTATATCACATTTACTATTACTTTTATCCCTGGCTTTTCTTCATTTAGCACAGTACCAATAATGTATTTTGCAGAAATGGGAAAATGGTTTGAGTTGATGGGTAAAAACTGAATGCTCAGAGAGAGCCCAGCAGTGATTCTTAATGAGGTGCAACCTATTGCCTTTCCATCCAAAATGATTGCATATACATGGCAAGAAAAAATGCACATACCAAAACCACACCATTTATTTCCAAGCATTTGGGAGATCTAGCTGCTGTGTGTGTAACAGCTTTAAAAACTATATATAAAATTGACTGTGGCTGATGGTAGTGATTTGTTCACAGTTCATTATTTTGAAATTAAGACAAAAGTGTTTACGCTTTCCCTGCGAGTCTCCATCCTTCCTTCATGAAATTTTAACACCTTGTGGAAAAGGTGTTGTTTTTTCTGCTTCTTCTGCAGGGAGAGGAAGAATGTTAATAAAATACCTAATTTCATAGGAACATTGGTATATGTTTATTTTATTTGAATAGTGTATGAGCTGGGCAAGTGGTCTTTTATATCTTTTTCTCTCTTGTTCTATTTATCTGGAAAAATTCTGCATGTGGAATCCCCCCTTCTTAATGTGATATATTAAGGATATAAATGTACATTTTTTTCCCTCAAAGGTAGCAATGAATAATTCCAGCAGTTTTTTTTTCCTGCTGCAAGAAAGTTTTTAAAAACCATGCCATTTTAGAAGGCTGATCTCAATTTGGAATTAATTATGTACAAAATTCACATATGATTGTCTTGTGCAAATCATATAAAATAATATTTAAACACAGAAATAATTTTTGCACAGAAAATGCTGTTTTCTAGGCAAATCAACCATACATTTTTTGAGATCTTCGATTATAGCTGTTTCAATGCAGAAAACATTTAATATTTCAGGCTACACTGAAATACTGTTTCATGCAGAAATAGTTTTCTGCTCAAAATTGCATGCATATTCTGTGCAGAATAAGTTCTGAACTTGGAAGATTTTCATGAACCTGAGATTTTTCCTTTACTAGTATCAGAAAAATGTAGGTTTTTCCTTTACTATTTTAAAAATATTTTTGATTTTTCCCCTTCCCTAGGCTGCACATTGGCAGCCCTTCTTGAATTGCAGCTTGAACCTAGGGGAGAAAAATCCTACATCACTGTGTGTCCATAAAATATTTTTCAATAATGAAGAGAGAGGGAGAAAGAGATGAATAATTTGGCCATCTCTCACACATAATAATATAAACACCCCCACGGATTTTTGTCACTGCTCCACCACATTTCTGTAGGCATGTTTGCTTTGCCTTGTTGCTGAGAAAAGGAGGTAAATAGTTGACCCAACTTAACTTCTAAATCCCATTGTGTGTTTGCAAGTACTAACACATTTCTTTGCTTCCCACTTTTTGGTTTCTAGTGTTGGAAAAGAGTGAATTCAAAGATGAGTCTCAGTATTTCCGCTTTCATGCTGATGAGGAGATGGAAGGTACAAGTTCTAAGAGCAAGCCATTGCGGAACGATTTCAAGCTCATCGAAAACATTTTAGGAAAAAGTTTGCTGGTAAGAAAAAAGTCAGAGAATATGTAATTAATTATGACAAAAGGCCTACCTTTATTAAAGCTAGGTTGAGTGGGACAGAGAGGACATACATTCTGTGAAAGCTCAGGGACAGGAGTGTGCCTCTCAGTACACTGCTGCAGAGCTCACTTTCTAGCATTGTCAGACAGAGTTGGTCCATCCTTTATCTAATCAGAACAGGAATTTTATATATCATTGCAGCAATGTTCCCAAGAATAGTGCTGCACTTTTCTATGTCATTTCTATTGGAGAAAGTGTATGGAATGTGTTTGTTAAATTCATAGAATAATAGAATCATAGAGTTGGGAGAGACCTCGTGGGCCATCCAGTCCAACCCTCTGTCAAGAAGCAGGAAAATCACATTCAAAGCCCCCCTAACAGATGACCATCCAGCCTCTGTTTAAAAGTCTCCAAAGAAGGAGCCTCCACCACAGTCCTGGGCAGAGAGTTCCACTGCTGAACAGCTCTCACAGGAATTTCTTCCTAATGTTCATATGTCTTATGTATAAGTAAGCTACTACAAAAAGAAAAAGAGAATGAATCCATACTGCTTGTTGTGCATAGCTTGTTCCACAGCCCATTGATATCTGGGCACCCAGATTACCTTATACTGTATAAGTAGCTGATTGCAGTAGTTCTCAATCATTAGTTCTGCTGGTGTTTCGGACATCAATTCCCAGAAGACCTTTGGTCAGCAGTCAGGCATTCTGGGAGCTGAAGCCCAAAACAGCTGGAGGACAAAAGGTTGGGAATCACTGCTCTAAACCCCAGAGGGAAATTCTGATGATCCATAAGAATCCGATTGCTGAAGTCACACTGAATATGTATATGTCACAGGGTGAGACCATTGATACATGTGGCTTTGGGGTCAGAGCCAGAGTCCAGCTCCCTCTTCTTCAAACAATAGCCCTTTGTGTATAGCACATTAGTAAGTCAGTACTCAGGAATACATTACATTTGACATAGAAAATTGATCTGTTGTCTTTTTGCCCTGTTGAACATTGGCATTGAGAACCTTGTGTCTACTGAACTGTGTCCTTGGTTTTGTTCTTGACCTTGCTAGAGAATCATGTAAAGCTGCCAATTGCAGAGATAGATGGGCAGATGCATGTCACTGCTAGAACATTAATGCAATTTGCATCTAAAAGACTAATCTGGAATGTAAATTATCTAAATCAAAGGGCATTTGTGTTTACAGAGTCTGTATTGGCCATAACTTTATTCATATATTCTCACTGTGTGTCAGCACAGATATACCAGCTCTGTGCCTTTTCTCACCTGTTCTCCTCAGGCTCTATACGGTAAACATAGAGCCTTCTCCAAAGATGTCAGAACACTGTAAAAATAAGATTCTGAAATTATGCTTCTTGGAGAGACAATGTGTTAATCATCTTCTGGGCATAGACCCTGATGAAGGTGAGTAGCAGATGTAACAAGTCCATCTCTGCTCCTCTTCTCATATACTGACTTTGTTGGTGAGTAAAATGCCCAAGCAGAGTTCATGTTTTGGCTATATCTCAAATCATATTCAACTAAGGTAGTAACTTCCTTTGCATCGGTTTTCTCTTATTGTCTGTTACGTGTCCTGGTATCCTATATTCTGTTATGTCTATTCTGTCAGCGTTCACGCATTTATTTTGACCTTTTTATTGGCAATCGTATTTCCTGACAGTGGGCCAAAGTCTGTGCCATTGCTCTCATTGATAACCAGGAAAATGGAAGAGGAGTAGGAGAGCCCCTCTCAAAGTAAAAAGCATGTTGGGAAGGAATCCAGAGGCCCATTAAAGGGGAGAAATGTTTCCCAATGGATTACTTAAACTGCCTTTATGCTACTATTATCTTCTTAGTACAGCAGGCTTACGTATCAATGCAGTTTCTTTTACCCAATAGACAACAATGTATGTTGCAAAAAAATGCACTGTGGTGTTTTTCTAATTTATGTTATTCCCAAATTTCATTCTCTACTTGAACATTCAACCTTGTGGTTTATATATGAATATCAAGCAGCTTATTGAGTCATTTGATATCATTAGGTTGCTAAAAGAATAGTTCTACTAGGACCTTTTATGAACTATCAGTTGTCATTCCCCCTCCGAAAGAGAGCATGTGTTTCTCATTTCCCAATGGATTAGCATTCTGGTGCAGGGATACTGCAATTTCCTCAGTATTTGACAGCAGTATTGCACCACTGAAATCTGTTACTCTTTCCCTATATATCATATCCAATTTTTCTTATGATCACTATGTAGAATATGGTTTTCCTTGTTGCTTTTGTGTGTGTTCTTCATTATTTAAATGATTTTTTACCATGCCTTTCCAACACATTGTTGTTTTGAGCAGCCTATGAAAACCAAGCGATGAACAAAACAAGCACAGATTCCCATTTCAATAAACACATCATAATATCATTAGTAATGGGTAGCAAACACTGTTCACATTGTGTTTTGCTTGAAAACCAGTATGCGTAAAGAAGTATCTTAAAATAACAAGACAATGTGACAAAATGTGTGAATGTATGTCTTTTCCCCTATGTCTTCATCACATAAGATTCATACATTTATCAGAGAACACCATGGTTTTGCATTGCTACTGGTTTAAAGGGGCCCTCAACATAGTATCACTGGAGGTGGGGGTGATTACTTTGCCTGGCAATAGCTACTATTTTCAGTTTCACACAGATGCCCCTGCCATAATATTGTAATAGTACAATATTATGGCAGAGGCATCTGTGTGAAACTGAAGATTGTTTGAAATTTAAATTGCAGCCACTTGAATTTTTTGTAGCATTCAAAATCAGCATTGCTTTTTTACAGTATTCCAAGTCAACATGAGAGCTACCATGTTAAGTTTCCATGATATCCTAGCAAATTTCCCTGTTGATTTTCCACTGTGATTTTCTTTGAAGAGTGGATACATCAAGATTTACTGTGTGTGATATTGATTCTGAATCAATGCCAATTCCTTAAAAGCTTTTGTCTCTTAAATTAGGTTGATTGAAATCGGTTTATGAGGGAAAAATCAAGATTTTGATTTATATTGCAAATTCCTGACAACGGGATATGTTCAGAACAGTCCTTTTGTGAACTATGGCTTTCTCTAACTAGCATGGCCCGTGAATTCAGGATCTAGTTCATTTTATAGAGCTCTGGGTCAGTGGCACTTGATTCATACATTCTTAGTATCATTATACCTCTCCAAGCTACTGTTTTTCATGTGGCTCCAGCTGAGTATAGCCACAAGCCTTATGCTGTCCACCTACATCTTAGAACACCATTGTCTTACTGCACTGAAGGTGATTAAAACACCTATTGTTAATTTATTTATTATTTATTTACAGCATTTGTATCACAGAACACATATCTGGCAAGCATTCAATGGGTTGTTGTAGGTTTTTCAGGCTGTATGGCCATGTTCTAGAAGCATTCTCTCCTAAATCCAACGCCTTTAGACAAACAGAACAGATAGACAGCTAGAGGCATGTGTCAGCTTTGGCGTCCTGGAGGTTATGCTAAATTCTGGCCACAGGGGGTGCTGTCACTCCATTCTTTATGATGATGAGCCTTTTATGATCACAAACTTATCTTCTATTCTTTGATTAACTGCTTCTTGTGGTGCCGTAAAATACCTCCCTGCTTAAGCGGTACCTAATTTCTCTACTCACAGCTAATTTTGAACTGCTTAGGTGGACAGTAAGCTAGGCTGAAAGTCAGGTGCTCACCTGAACCTGGGCTCAAACTGCCAACCTCTCAGTTGGGAAAGATTTATTGCTGCTGGTGATTAACCAGTTGTGCTAAAGCCTGACCGAAATGTTGGATGAAGGTAACAAAGCAAAGTGAATGTCAGCCAGTGGTGTTACATGCTGAAACTTCGCTTTTAGACAGTGGCTCTTAAAATCTTGTACTACTAAGGTTGGAACCTGCAGTACATTATATTATCAGCCCTTTCACCTGAGTTCCTTTTCTGGATCAGCTGTATTACACCATCAGTGCCTACACATGGATTTCAATTCCATAGCTAGTTTCAAATGAGAAGAAAAGTGGATCATCTGGTCATGATGGCTCTGCAACACTCTACATTTTTATAATACATGCCAAGTTGCATAAAGAGAAATTAGCACTATCCATTCTCTCAGTCATTTATCCCTCTTTCTGACCTTACACTGAAAGGAACAGCAAATATTTTCTGCCAAGTGAAATGTGCAGTTGCCAAAGGGAAATTATTCCAGCATGAAGCAAATGCTTTTCAAACAAATACTTAATTTTATTTGTTTGTGCAATTGTTCCTGTTCGTGGACATAACTCATGCCGTGCTGAAAAAATATGCAAAATTCTCTGCATACTTCAAGGAAAATTAGAGCTTAGGCTTACTTCCTGAAACTAAAAATGTAACCATGTCAGGATTTCTCCTCTGTAATTTATAAACAATGCTTTCAGAGCAAAATGTAAAGCTTTAGGGTGCAAATTCCAGGAAGTTTCATCTTGAAATAAATATCTGAGGTGGGTTTAGAGTTGACAGTTCATAAAAATTGTAGAAGATTTTTTTTTAAAAAAAATGATTTTAAGGACTTATAATTTGACTTCATTTTTTAAAAATATAAGGCAGTTTACAATGAAACCACAATACTTTCATATAAGCTGTAATAAAACATTCAGTGAAACAGTAGGCTAAAACAGCAATAAAAGGAATGCAACAAAATTTAGCGGACATAAGAATAAAACCTTCACTGGCTATGTGTGAGGTATATTATTGAAGCCAAAGCAAGTGAAAGGAACTTGACCTTGTGTCCTATGTGCAGCAGTATGGAGGACATCCCAAAGTTGGGGCTCTACTACTAAAAAAAAGCCTGTCTCCAATCATCAGCTGCCTGAAATCTGAAGCAGTCCTTCTGAAGATTATTTTAGAGCAGGGTTAAGAATAACAGGGTTCATGGGCCACATCTGGTCCCATGTTTTATGGCCCCACTTTGCCCTTAAAATAGTGGT